CCCGTTGATGAAATACAGGACTGTGAAGTTGGCGTAAAACCTAAAACTTGATGGTGATAATATATGAATGTTAATGCAACAAGCGCTGCGCGTGAAGATATATTGAATACTTTTGACACATTAACATATTTCAACACCTTTCTCAACGGTAAAATTAGATACATTTAAACGTAAGTAGCACATGGCCGTTGAAATTAAAAGGTGTACAAGAAGATGTATTCCTTATAATAGAAAGTCCATAAGGGTATTTGACCCGTGAAGATTCCGGGATAGAATAGGTCTTCAGCAACCCATGCTTGCCGTAAAAGGTGACTATGCTTGTCGTAAATGGCGACTAACGGGATCGGGTGGTCAGACTCGCTGACTTGGTTGAAGCATGTCATCGATCCCAAATGCGTGGATGGATGTTCATGAAATCAATCACTGGATTGACTGGTCCAGACTCGATTATTTACAGACCGCCGTCATATAGCTGGAATATTGCTGAGTGCGACGTTAAACAACAAACCAACCAACCATAAGGGTATTTAGTATTTCGTTATGAAAAAAATAGTTCTCTTGATATTCAATACTGGACATTTCCCCACACCCCACTTTTTGTTTGTTTATTGTAAAAGTTAATAAGAGGAGGTTTGGTGGGGTACTAGAGGTATCTTTTCAGAGGGTGTTATTCTGGCATTACCCACTATTTACTGGAGGATATTGGAAATGAATATAGACGGTCATGTTGTCTGACTACAGATAGAATTTGTTATCTTAACAATCACTGGGGGTTTCACATTAGGGGTTGTGATTTTTACAATTGCCCAAATGATCCTGCTGAGTATTGGTGCTTAGTGATGTCAAATGGAACGTTTTATTATTAGAGGACATTGGTAGTGAAAACTTAATACCATCTATACAGGATATCCTCAGGATTGTTAGCCCTTTCTTTCTCTGTGTGTAATTCTGATGGAAAGAAGTCACTCAACCAGTTCATGCATTCCATTGTAAAAAAAGATCAGACTTTGTTAGAATCCGTGTTTATCTGAGACAACAGCCCACTGGTGACATTGTTGTGAACTTGGGAAGTGGTGATGATTTTTTATATTCATATTATTATAATCTGTCAAATTGTACATAAATGTGTGTGTTCAATCATAAAATTCAAAGGGACTGTTCCCTACACCCATCAATATCATAATGAATGAACATTAGTTTATTGTATGGATTATGTAAAGCTCTCACTAAGTGTATGTTTTACATGCATGACAGATGGGATGAAGGGAGAAAGGAAATATTTTCCTGAACATTTCCAATAACTAGTGGGGGAAATTGGAAATGGCTGAACCTGTAGATCTCACAGGGTAACATTCAACAGGCTCATTACCTTGTGATCATGTAAACATTTTTTCAGTTTAATTAAGCAGTTTGGAAAAAGAGAGGATATTTGAAGTGAACTACATTGGAAAATGAGAGAAGACATTAATAGTCAATGTTTTTCTCATATAAGCTCTCTGTTCAGTAAACAACAGTTGTTACTTTAGTACTTTCAAGAGGAATCCCAAACCTTCTCTCACTCTGTTATGATATATAATGTCAACGTGAAAGCAAAAAAAAACCGAACTTGCAACAAAACATTTTCCATGAACTTGTTTATTTGCTATTTTGATAAACATGTGTTTAAATTGATTTTATTATTTCGGATGTTTACGTCTAGTACACACAAACAGGAACGTTTAGCCTATATAAGGAATGAAGCAGGCAGTGGATCTTCCAGTTGGCTAACTTACTGTTGGTAATATCCGTTTTCTTTCAGCAAATTAAGAGGATAGTTAGTTACAAAAATATACGATATACAACGCACATTTGCACAAAAAACATTCGACACTGACACCGCATCAAACACCTGCGGTAGAATGCACACAGTTATGTGCTCACCGATTAGATAACCCCTAACTACAGGGTGGGGATGGTGGTTCAAAGCGAAATAGACAACACTGTCTGTTGTGTAGTAAATGCCAATTCATTGGGGACGGGGTTTTCTTATGTATATGTGCCCAGTGTATCCACAATTAACTAGAATGTTTCATATCTACAAAAATGTATATGCGTCAGTATGGTTTATCAACACTTGTATAATGCTTATTCACGCTTGGTGTGCCAGACTGAAATTGAACATTATGATAGCGTCAGCAGGGATAATAGAGATTAGAAGATTACGTAAAGAAAACACTGAGTCGTTGCCACAGAAGTGGGCTTGCTAAATTTAGATGCGGGGTAGCCCCATTAAAGTTAGAAACTGGCCGCTATTCTAATATTCTTGCAGAAGAGCGATTTTGTTTTAAGTGTAGAGACTGTGTGGAGGACGAGATACACGTCTTACTTTTATGCCCACTATATAATGATGTGAGAACATATCTTCTTTAACGATGTAATTTTACTGATCCGTATTTCAATGGTTATTCCTACTGTGAGCAATTTACATTACTTCTATCCAGCTCCTATCTCACCTTTTACGTGGCCAAAACCTGCTATGATATTTTATTGACGCGCCGATCTATTTTATATTCATGATGTATATATTGTATGTATATTCATTTTAGTATACATGTTTGTTTTATGATCATATCGTCTCTCATAAGTCGTTTTACGACTGGCCGTAAGTTTAACGCGTGTTTTGATTTTATATGTATATTGTACAATGTACCTTACGGGTGAGACGCAAATAAATCATTGTCTGTCTAGAGGTCATAAGACGTTGCATATGAAGATCATACATAAATATGTTTAAGTTACATAGGCAGCAGGCTAGATTAGTTACAGCAATACAGTTCAAATATTGTGTTCAATAAAAGAAAACGTTTATTTTTGTACGATTAAACAAACTGTGGACTTTGACGACATTTTCGCTTATTGTACTAACATCGAGGTAAAACATCATATCTATCTCTGAAATCCACGGGCATAGTTGCTGTCAAACATAAGAACGTAATCAGGGCGGCCAGCTTTGACTTGTTATGTGCCTTAAAGTGTGTTTAAACATGTCAAAAGCGATTGACCCTACAATATAGGGTCATTTACTCCAACGTTCTAACTGTCAATCGTCTTAACAGGACCATAATTAATGTTTGTTATATTTCGACTACCTGTCTCTATGTCTTAAGTTGTTAATCGGTAACTGCGGTCAACTTATTCATCTATTGTTGCAAACTTGAGTGGTTTGTTTGCACAATAAAAATTCTAATTGATCATGCACTACTGAGGCAGTCAAGCACCTGTATAAGAAATATAAAAGCAGCCATGTTACATGTTGTCCCAAAAGCTGGCAATTATTTCGACGCGATATGACTGAAAAAATGACAATGTGACGTGACATATAAACTTACCAACAGACAATACATTTTTCCAGAGCACAATTTTATCAAAGTTTTATTTACAATTTGAAAAACTATAATAATATGTATATTAAAATTCATCATCACTTTACAAGTTTACTAAAATGTCACCAGTCGGAAGATGTCACAGATAAACAAGGATTCTAAGTTTGATCGTCACAGGTTTATCCCCATTTTGCCAGCACAATGCAGAGGATTAACAGTTACTGTGAGTGAGCATGGTTTTACGCCGCTTTTAGCAGTTACTGTGTTTATACAAGCACATTAGTCATGCCAAAAACACTCACAGTAGTTAGTGAGTAAACCCAACTGAGGATTTTACAAGTATCCATCACAACCTTTGAAAGCTAACATGTGAATAAACTCTGTTCACTGAAACTTAAATAATTAAGGCACTTGCAGTGACCAGTTAACAAGTAATCAGTGAGATAGTATATAAATACTGGGAACGCCAAACAACTTCATTGTAAATAGACAAATGCACATGTGAATGGTCAAGGTTTTAAATACCGAGTGAAACAAAGACGAGGTGCCAGCCTACACTGGAAATGCTGTATGCTGCATGTCCAACCTCCATCAACACCTCTAGTGATCTTTTCGCGATTCCGAGCCTTGCGTATAACCATTGTCATGACCTGATTGAGTGACTTCTTTCCATCAACGTGTAATAATTACCCACAGAGAAAGAAAGGATTAAAATCCTAAAGATATCCTATTCAAATGGTATAAGTACTCACAATCGGTTTCCTCTAATAGTAAACTGTCACTTTTGGTATCCCCAAAAAATACTCACCATGGTCATTGGGCAAATGTAAAAGTCACAAACCCTAACGAGATTCTGTTTACATGGTCACACCCGATGATTGTGAAGATCTAAAATTATATCAACAGTGAGACAACATGCCTGTTCAAATTCCTTTCCAATATCCTCTTAAAATTAGTGATAAATGTTAAGTCCCACACAAAGCTTTCTCTTAATAATTCTTACAAAATACCACACAGAAAGTGGGGTGGGGGAAAATGGGACATATTCCTGCGTGAAATAGTAAGACATAAGGAGTGATGACTGTGTTGTCATATTTGTACTATCTAAAGCATAAATTTGGCGAACGAAAAACGTTATATTAGCAGTCACCCTGAATGTCTCACGTGGGCAAAACTTAAAACGAATATGTCCACAATCCACAAACAATCACTTCATTAATGGCGAGCATTTACCAGCCCGCGACAATCGTATCAACTCGGGGATTCCCCTAGCAATAAAATCGCATCTACACTCAGTACTGTTCAACTGTCGGGTAGCCAGGACTCTCGTGGAATGGTTCATGCCATAAAAGTCCAGCAACCGAACACTAATTAAGACGGGCTGACCTTGTGTTCATGGTCTGGTAAACACAGGTCAATGGCCGCTCATTAACTCAAGATTCACATCTCACTGTTTTTATTTATCTCACTATTCATTTGATATATTTTCCATCTTCAACTGAAACCCGGTCCCGTGTTACACGCATGGTACATGCATGTGCAACGAGAGACTCCTTGTTATAAGTTTGGGGATGCATTTTTACCTTATAATAGTATTCAGAACAGTTGAATAAGTAACTAAGTTGAACAACCACTAGCAAAATAGAAGTACTTTATTCAGTTCAGATAACAATGAGGAAAATACCATAATACCATAGTAATTGTATTAACGTTGTTATCAGACTGACATATGTCGTATACAGTCCTCTTATTTGATAAAAAAAAAGAGTAAGTAAGATAAATGGAAAACCAACTGGATGTTACATTCCTTATATCAGCTAAGGGTCCTGTTTATGAAAATATGCACCTTACAAAAGATTTAAAGTCTAATCAAATAAATTTTAGGACCATGTAGACAATACAAGCAAATCAAATATGTCTTGGCATCATCTGTTGTGTATTAGAGGATGGTCATGATCTGAAAAGTTATGGCGTTTTGTTAGGAAGGAGAAACATTAAAGTGTAAAACACTGATACACGAGATACACGAGATATGGGAACACTGACATGAACGGTAAGATTAAGAAACATAAAATAAACATGCATAAAAGGGTATAGAGAAAATGGTGGAAACAAATTGAAATAGGTTTTAATAAAGAGAAACATATTGTACTAAACAACTTGCCTGTGCACAAGCGGTTCCCAAGGATAGGATAAAGCATAGACAACACAAACATGTTTGACTGAAGGCTACACGTATGCTTCACATTACAAATTCAGATATAGCACCCGTGTGAAGCATATTGAAGCTGAGAACTGAGATGCCAAGTATTACGTGCATTCACACACGGAATCAATATAATTCATGTGTGTATGCCCATTCCTCTAAAAGATGTAACACTAAAGTATTTTGAATTGTAGAAATATAGTCAATTAAAATGAATAAAACTTAGTAAATCCGGGGTGTCTCCGATAGATATGACTTTCAGTTTGATTTGATTAAAAGGGATTACGTAGATGTAGTCACTTTCTCTAATTTATCTGCTAATTTGAATTCAATTGTCATGTTATAGCACTGTTAGTAAAACCTGTCTTTTGTTTTTATATCGGGTGTGAATAGTTGATCGTCTAGTTATATATTTTATATATTTATATAGATTTATGTTTATACTTTATAATATACATGTGTTGTTAATTGTAGTAGATACTTCAATCACTGTTTCTCAGAACGCAGAACTGATAACATCGAAACATGCAATAAGAACACAGAGGATTGTTACATATCATTTTTTGTATATTTCTCCTTGAACAAAGAGTCTAGATGTATTACGTAATCGGTGCAACTTTGTGTCCACATGCACAGTCTCAGCTGGCTGACGTCACATCTCCCATCAAGTCAGCTCTATATTCCAAACATTGTATAATTCCCGAAGACATTTTGAATGAAAGGAATTTAAAAGAAATTCGTTTTATTATCATATTTAACAAACCTACATGTATTTTACCAAATACATGTCTCGTTCAATCTATTGTATTTAACATGTGTAGTCATTGTAAAGTTTCAAGGAGTACTGTGATTGTGTGGTATTATCATTGAAATTAGAATATGAATAGTGTAAAAACAGTCACCATATTGGATGTAAATGTATAACTTGTTTTCCAACACCACGCTTGTGCCGACCCCCGGGGTCATAAAGCTAAATGGTGCAATTAGGGGCAGTTAGTTTCACAGATTGCTCCGCGGAGTGTTTGCGTAGCTACGCAGACATTTTACCAACATTCTGCGTAGTCCCCGAGTAGCTACGCAATAGTTTTACCAACATTCTGTGTAGTCCCCGCGAATATTTGCGAAATAAAGTAAAAGACTTTTGCGTTGTAGTGTACGTTTAAGCATCTATGAACTAATATTTTCTTTCTATATTGAACAATTTCAGCTTCATTTGCATACCCGGGATCAGCAATAAAAGTTAGTGTCACCGTCGCCATCTCCCCCACAACCAATAAAGAAGTATGATGGTCCTCCTCTACCAGTGTCACAACAACTATCTACTCTACCACCAAGTTTGTCATACAACCAGTGTGACTGTAGCCATCTTCCCCACCATCACTGTTGCTGTATGATCACGGTAATCCTCTAACTATGTTCCCCACCACCACTTTTGGCATATGACGGCCCTCCTCTACCAGTGTCAGTGTAGCTGTCTTCCCCGCCATCACTGTTGGCATATGAGGGTCCTCCTCTACCAGTGTCAGTGTAGCTGTCTTCCCCACCACCACTTTTGGCATATGACGGCCCTCCTCTACCAGTGTCAGTGTAGCTGTCTTCCCCGCCATCACTGTTGGCATATGAGGGTCCTCCTTTACCAGTGTCTCTTCAGCTGTCTTCCCCACCACCACTGTTGGCATATGAGGGTCCTCCTCTACCAGAGTACATTGTAGCTGTCTTCCACGCCACCACTATTGGCATATGAGGGTCCTCCTCTACCAGTGTCACTTTAGCTGTCTTCCACACCACCACTGTTTGCATATGAGGATTCTCCTATACCAGTGTCACTGTAGCTGTCTTCCGTGCCACCACTGTTGGCATATGAGGGTTCCCCTATACCAGTATCACTGTAGCTGTCTTCCCCACCACAACTGTTGGCATATGAGGGTCCTCCTCTACCAATGTCACTGTAGCTGTCTTCCCCACCATTACTGTTGGCATATAAGGATCCCCCTATACCAGTTTCACTGTAGCTTTCTTCCACGCCACCACTGTTGATGTACGACGGTCCTCCTTCAGTACCAGCATCACCTTTGTGATCTTCCCCGCCAACAGTGTTGATATATAACGGTCCTTCTGTAATGGTGTCACCATAGCCATGATCCTCACCACTGTCGTTGCGTTGATGTAGCCTCTCGTAGTTATTACTTCTATCATACATAACCAGATTCGAGTAACTGTTATCCTCTGTAACATTGTTATTTTGTATTCTATATTGACTGGGCGTTTGTAATACCTTTCGGGGGATGTTTTCTGATGCTGATGTCTGCGAATTAGATCTCAAGTTCGTTCTGTAGGGCCTGATTACCTTGCTACAAAAATGAAATACATTGAAATATTGAAATACATCCCTATTAATATGAGCAAATGATAATGTCATTGCAACGTTTTTATTATCAAGATTACATTGTTTATATTACTATCTCTGTCGTCTTGCCTTAAATGTTCGGGTGTAAAGATAACAGGAGATACTTACCAATACACGATGAGCGATACGCAGCATAACGCCAGAACACCAACCATTGCTGCTACAGATGTGTTGATGTCTGAAATAAGACATGAGTTACACGTGTTCGATACTTTCGATGGCCTTTAGTAAATAAATGAAACCGATAATATTTGACTTTATAAGGATAGACTGTTAACATTGTACAACATCATGGTTTTCTGTTATTAATAACATTTTGTATCATTTCATGAGAACGAGCATTATGTAATAATTATTTAACATTTATGCCATTTGTTCAGTAATTATAAAGATTGTGCTGCATCATGATTGACTAGAATCTTAAATTGTGCCTCGTTCACGTTCATATAATTAAGGACAGCCTGATGGTTTGCTATCATTTTCCGTTATTATTTGGAAACGTTGTGGACCATTTTACTGCAAAAAATTAATTATGGTCGTGTGATCCTTCTCCAGACCGGTCAAATCAGACCACTTGTCTTTGTGCTTGTCTGTTGGTACAAACTATCACTGACGCTGTTCAGATCTTGATACGCATTTACCTGTCAACTATTACCACTTCGGCGATCTTCACGAGTACCCCTGTAATACAGTGTTATACCCAACGTTTGAATCTATAACGGGTGCGCACATCGGTCGGTCAATTCATGCATGTATGAATGTGCAGACAGACCAGTATTCAATATGCTAGCTGTGTTGCACTTATGGGGATAATCCCCATGCAATTAGGTCAGCAAGGAAAAGGAAAAGAATGTACTCGATCAGAATATTTGTTACTCAGTGTCTAACTATGACCATAGATACATATCATTAGTTTGTATGGCTATTTAACGAATCCAATAGAAACCTTGAGCGGTTAGTAAGCATTCTATTTTTGGAATTATAAGGAAAAGTTTTCGTTTGATGATGATAAGATTGTCGAGTCACGAAAATACAGGTTTTATATGCACTAACTATATAAAAGTGAAACAGGATAATAGTCATTTTCAGGCTTTTCAGCGACCTGCATTTTCCTCATTTTTGTGAAAGAAGTCGATTAGCCACCTATAGTTAACATATGCTATTCCTAAAATGTAGGGGATACTGTGTTATATCACAAAATTTCAAAACTTGTAAGAGATATTACTTTCTAGTAATAGTTGTATGATAAGAGCCTAGATCCATGTCTGAACGAGATCGATCGTCAACATTTTGGGCTTGTTGATACCTGTTCCATAGTCTGCGAATCACACACTATGAAACATTGGACGAATTGGCCACTGCACTCTGACTTCTGCCAGTTTCAATCATGCAAATAGCCCGTAGAGGTTCCCCGCGTTGCAGACGCCTCATTGCTAGTTCTTACACAAAGAAGTAAATCAAGTATATCACAACTGTATGAAAAGCACAATGAATAAGATTGACAGAAATAATGGTCCACAGAGATTAATCGACCTTCCTTGAAAGTGTCAAAACCAGAAATGAGTCACGTGATATTGACATATATGTATTTCATGATCCCATATTTTTAGTATATTTTATCACGTTTATCTTCAAGCTTGATGGTGATCACTGTTTGTTTAATATTGCGCATGAGGCAAAAGTCATGGGTGGAATTTGCTCAAATTATTTGAAGAATACATACATTCACATAGGGGAATGCTTGGTCGTAGGGAAGTCAATGGAAATGTGTGTATGCGGTGTGTTTGGCGTTAAATGTATCTAGTTAGGATGTATAGAATATACTCTGACAAAAAGTCAAATAATGTTTATTAGCTTCCATGTGCTATATAAGTGTACATATATACATTTAACGCAATCATCTGAATTATGTAAATTAGAGAAACTGGAGAAAGTAAAACGAGAAAGGGGTGATTGAATCAGTGAACAAATAATATAAACAACATAAACATACGCATGACGACATGAAGATTGTTTAACTACTTCTCCCACATTTGGAAGAAGCATTAGCTCGTAAACATCAGGAAACCGACGACTTTCCATGTCATTATTCCACGAAAAAGGCATAAGATTTTCTCCTGAGAAGAATAACATCGGCCTCTAACATTCAATTTGTTCTTTGTTATCGTGTTTCCTCAATTTATATCGTGTTGTTAAATTTCATCACAAGTGAAAATGCCAAAACTGCAATATATAGAGAATACGAACAGGGTATATATGGAAAGAACACATGACAGCACGAGTCAGTCGAAGTGACAAGCGCAGAGGTGAGGTTATTTGTTATCTTCAAATATGAAAAATCTGAAAAGCTGATGTACGAAACCATCTTAAAATTGTTTTGGGTTATAACTGCAGCAAAAGAACGGTATATACTTTTAATTTAGTGTCATTCAGAAGAAGAGCATTGCTTATTTTGAAAATAGTCTTCAACAAATTTAAAAGGAGTTCGGTCGCATTTGAACATTAAATATGACCAAATATGTATATACGTCAGTTGACCAGTGGGTGACGAGGGAAGCAATATGTTCCGTCTAAATTTATACACTTAGATCAAACTAATGTCTCTATATTTTTTTGAGTAGCTATGGACAGTTTCTTTTCATTTCCTGCATTTATACACATACATTCTTGATTATGCACCCACTGATGCCATGACGTAAATGCCTAATAACCGTTTTGGGTGTAAGTTTCAGGTTTGCATACACCCATCATTGAAAGATTCATCTTATTCCAATGTCCGTTATATGATATTATCCTGTATAATCATCAGTTCCTATTGAATCATCGTCAACACAGGCCATGTCACCTGCAGCGTCTCTGCTGCTACTTGAAACTGTGGTAGAGACCATTGGACACCATGACGCTAGCCTCGTCATCCTCAACGTTTTTATCAAATACGTTGCTGGGAGAAGCGTCCGATTCGTCCTGTATAGAATCCCTTTCTCTGTCATGTCCAAATTTATCATAGAGTTCATTGTCAACCATTCCCCCACCAGTATCATCACCCGTATCCAGTCCTCCATCATACAAATCATGTTCTGTCATATTACTTATTTCTGTCGATATGCTTCTTTTATCAGGATTGTCGTTGTCATCTTTGCTACCAACGTGGTCAGCTGGGAGAGGAGGCCCTCCGTTGTAGACGTCGTTTTCTATCATGTCACAATTTTCTTTTATCGTCTGTTTTCTGATGCTAGGAGAAGTGTCCGATTCGCCGTGTACAGATCCCTTTTCTCTGTCATACTCGAATTTATCATAGAGTCCATTGTCAACCATTCCAGCTTCAATGCTAGTGTCATCTCTCGAAGCGAAGCCTCCATTATATAAATCATTTTCTGTCATATCATTATGATCATTGTCAGTCGTGCTGCCAACAGGGTCTATCATGAGAGAGGGCGCTGTAAATTTACTGTTGTCGTACGTGTTTAGTCGAGAACTCCTAGGCAACACGGTTGAGTACTGATCTTGCATTGGACGTTTATAGTTCCCAGTTTTGTATCTACTTTCTGTATGTAATATCGGTTCACCACTTCCAGACACGTTACTGCTCTCATTTTGTCCCGAGCCATAGGGCACTTTTTCAATGTTCATAGAACTGAGTTCAAAAGGGCTTTCGAAACTCGCGTTATCAGGAGGATCATAAGGACGACTGGTCTTCACATCTTTTCGCCTGAAATAAAAATGACAATTAATGGACATTTTAATATGATATAAACATTCATTTTTAAAGTGTATATATTTTCAGACAGTCTTCAGGGTTGGTAGTTGAAAAAAGGTATATTCAGTTAGTGATTACTCAGATTAACTTTGACCGGAGACATGAGTCTTTTAATAAATCTATAAATAAATATATCAAATATTACCTGCATAGTACAACTGCAATCACGACAATTACGATTGTGATAATACAGCCTGATGAGGCAGAGGCAACCCAAACTATCAGTCCTGTAAATGTAAGGTTAATACGTTATATGAATATAAGTGAGTGAGTAAGTAAGTTTACTCTATTACAACACTATCACGACAGGTTACACGACTGTCTTCACACGTTCTACCCATTTGGGGAATCGAACCCAAGCCTGTGTCATGAGGAGGGATCGTTTTAGCCACTGGGCTTCCCCCCAAACCCCTATAAATTAAACATTACTTCTAGTGGAGACAGCTTGCAGCAAAAGTATTGCCGAGAAGTCCTTCGTAAATGACAGTCCTGAGCATCAAAACATTACATTAACTTTTCTTATGTTTTAACAAATCAACGAGAACAGTCTGTGACTACGATTACGTCTATATATGTATCTTATACAGTAATTTAGTTTACATTTCCAACCATGTTTTATTAAGTTCGTATTTCCACGTCAGAAAGGTTTGTTAAACATGCACTGCTTCATGCACTTGTATGTAGTCACATTGTGACCATGTAATGCTCAGAGGAATACCTTCAAATGACATATTTACCTGCATCAGAGCTTGCTGCCGTTGACACGGTTGTTGAAGGTTTTGTGTCTCCATATGTTTAATTTTTTTGCAGTTGTGACGAAGAAACGGACAAATGTGATGTAAAAGGAATAATTAGATACACAAACTATTTGGGTTTAATATATCATACTACGACGTTTTCAGGAAGAGTAAACTTTAGAAATCTGGTACTTTACCTTAATATGGAATTATGTCAGGTTGTAGTTAATATTTAATAAATAAAGTTCATGTTATTTCCATCCATTTGGGACATGGTGTAAAGCATACAAGGAAATGACCATAACACGATACGTTGTCTGATTAGTAAATACACAGCGACAACAAGATATTCAGATTCTAATCAGCTGAATTTGGAGCGCAAGCAGGGCTATTTACAGCGAGAATCTGAGTGAGTGAGTGCGTTGGGTTTAACGCCGCTTTTAACAGTATTCCCGTTATATCACGGGGTGTCAGCTTAATGTGGGAGGAAAGCCCGAAGTGATGCAGGTCTCGGACGTTTACCACTTCGGTGAAACCAACGAGCACGGGTATGGTGCTGACAAACCTAGAAACATAATCGGGGCGAACCGGTATTCGAACCCACAATCATAGGTTTCTGGCGTGCCCAAGGGACGCAACTCTGCACAGCGAAACGGGGCGCCTTAGACGACTTGGCCACCCGTGCCCCCGCGAGAATCTGAGGATATGGATATGTATATATCATTAATAATACGACGAGTTCCTCTAGCATGACCAGCTGAATATCATCTCTTTCCGAAAACTCACGATCGACAGTATTTTGTTATTCAGATACGTACATGTACGTGCAGTTGGGAAAGCTACTTCAGCGGACGTGTTCTTAAAAAATATTCAGTCATGTGATGAAATAAAAAGGAACGTCAATCTCAAATCTATAAGCTGTCATCTCACATCACAAGTGCAAATTGAAAGCTATCATAAATTCGCTCCCCGGATGGTTAAATAATACAACCTTAATGTTAATGAGTCAAACAAAAGCACACAGGTGATTGGTATTGCCATCCGTCTGTCAGTTATTAGTTTTTGAGTAACATCAATCAAAAACTACTACAGGGAAACGTCACTGAAATATACCCTGCAAGAAACGCAAAAGTAGTAAAGTCGCATATATCTGTCATAATGTTGCCGACATCCATACAGAATTAATACCCAAAATGAATTGATCATTTCTGCACGGATTGGGAATGATATGTGTGAAAAAAATTAGGTACTGCAGAAATATGGTGAAAAGATCGCAAAAACACAACCACGTGAAAGCCTGGCGCAGAAACACTCCAACGTGACATGCACGTCCAACATCACTTGTTGGGCTATGCAAACTTTGGGGGTTTTTTTGCATGCCATCGCCATCTTACAACAAGTGAACAACGAAAACATGCCACGACTGACGGAATCCCAACGCAACAAAGCCATCGGTCGACCTCAAACAGATGAATCATCTTCAGCTGTAGCCAGGTTTTCCACGTAGCACTAAGCACCTTTACAAGGCTGTCTAACCGTTGTTAGACACACAGGAGAACTCGGGACCTTCCCAGATCCGGTCGACTATGTACTAGAGCACAGGGCATTTTATACGATTACGTCACTTACGTGAAAGAACCACCACGGCCTGCCCTACAACTACGGCAATACCAGGATTAAGTAGGATATAAGCCCAGACAGTGGGAACCGTTAACGCGCTGAAGGCATTCGCCCTAGACGAACAGTTCGAGGTGTGATTTTGACGGACCTGCATCGACGGCTGCAGGAAAAAGTCGCTGGGGGCTAAGTCTGGGCTGTTTGGTGGGTGATTTAACTGTAAGTCTGGGCTGTTAGGTGGGTGATTTAACTGTACAGTTAAATCACCCACCCAACAGCCCAGACTTAGCCCCCAGTGACTACTTCCTGTTCCGGCAAATGAAATCTGCCCTACGTTGAATCTGTACAGTTAAATCACCCAGCCAACAGCCCAGACTTAGCCCCCAGTGACTATTTCCTGTTCCGGCAAATGAAATCTGCCCCACGTTGAATCTGTACAGTTAAATCACCCACCCAACAGCCCAGACTTAGCCCCCAGTGACTATTTCCTGTTCCGGCAAATGAAATCTGCCCTACGTTGAATCTGTACAGTTAAATCACCCACCCAACAGCCCAGACTTAGCCCCCAGTGACTATTTCCTGTTCCGGCAAATGAAATCTGCCCTACGTTGAATCTGTACAGTTAAATCACCCACCCAACAGCCCAGACTTAGCCCCCAGTGACTATTTCCTGTTCCGGCAAATGAAATCTGCCCTACGTTGAATCTGTACAGTTAAATCACCCACCCAACAGCCCAGACTTAGCCCCCAGTGACTATTTCCTGTTCCGACAAATGAAATCTGCCCTACGTTGAATCTGTACAGTTAAATCACCCACCCAACAGCCCAGACTTAGCCCCCAGTGACTATTTCCTGTTCCGGCAAATGAAATCTGCCCTACGTTGAATCTGTACAGTTAAATCACCCACCCAACAGCCCAGACTTAGCCCCCAGTGACTATTTCCTGTTCCGGCAAATGAAATCTGCCCTACGTTGAATCTGTACAGTTAAATCACCCACCCAACAGCCCAGACTTAGTCCCCAGTGACTACTTCCTGTTCCGGCAAATGAAATCTGCCCTACGTTGAATCTGTACAGTTAAATCACCCACCCAACAGCCCAGACTTAGCCCCCAGTGACTATTTCCTGTTCCGGCAAATGAAATCTGCCCTACGTTGAATCTGTACAGTTAAATCACCCACCCAACAGCCCAGACTTAGCCCCCAGTGACTATTTCCTGTTCCGGCAAATGAAATCTGCCCTACGTTGAATCTGTACAGTTAAATCACCCAGCCAACAGCCCAGACTTAGCCCCCAGTGACTATTTCCTGTTCCGGCAAATAAAATCTGCCCTACGTTGAATCTGTACAGTTAAACCACCCACCCAACAGCCCAGACTTAGCCCCCAGTGACTATTTCCTGTTCCGGCAAATGAAATCTGCCCTACGTTGAATCTGTACAGTTAAATCACCCACCCAACAGCCCAGACTTAGCCCCCAGTGACTATTTCCTGTTCCGGCAAATGAAATCTGCCCTACGTTGAATCTGTACAGTTAAATCACCCACCCAACAGCCCAGACTTAGCCCCCAGTGACTATTTCCTGTTCCGGCAAATGAAATCTGCCCTACGTTGAATCTGTACAGTTAAATCACCCACCCAACTGCCCAGACTTAGCCCCCAGTGACTATTTCCTGTTCCGGCAAATGAAATCTGCCCTACGTTGAATCTGTACAGTTAAATCACCCACCCAACAGCCCAGACTTAGCCCCCAGTGACTATTCCTGTTCCGGCAAATGAAATCTGCCCTACGTTGAATTTGTACAGTTAAATCACCCACCCAACAGCCCAGACTTAGCCCCCAGTGACTATTCATGTTCCGCAAATGAAATCTGCCCTACGTTGAATCTGTACAGTTAAATCACCCACCCAACAGCCCAGACTTAGCCCCCAGTGACTATTTCCTGTTCCGGCAAATGAAATCTGACCTACGTTGAATCTGTACAGTTAAATCACCCACCAAACAGCCCAGACGTAGCCCCCAGTGACTACTTCCTGTTCCGCAAATGAAATCTGCCCTACGTTGAATCTGTACAGTTAAATCACCCACCCAACAGCCCAGACTTAGCCCCCAGTGACGAGGACATAAAGGCTGCCACAGAGGCGTGGTTAGAGGGCCAATCAGCGGATTTCTATAAAAGTGGTATTAAAAGCTTGAAGGACAAATTGAATAAGTGTATTGAGGTGAATGGAGATTATATTGAAAATTAAAAGCGCAAATGATATTCTGCAACTTCGTCTTATATTGAAGTTGCAAAACTTATTGAACGCCCCTCGTGTGTTTGAGTATATGTTAATAGCGCTATCCTAGTATCTTAACTGCGTGAGTAGTTATCGAGCAGCCATATTGACGCGCGCCAAATCGAAGCGTATGTTATCATTATTTAGGTTAACAGTTGCCCTGCAATTGCATGTTTTGTAACGGGTGCTTCCTGGTAAACACCTGGTATCATCATTATTTGATATTTATCATAAACACCTCGTAAATACATTGTCGGAATCATATAAATGTTTTATATGATTACGGAAAGGGTTTTGTAGCTTTTCTTTTCCGTTCTTTGAATGGCATGTGGAACTGATACACATGAGAGAGAGAATTTATTTATGTAAACTTCTTTATTATGAGGAACACAACGTTTCGGAGTATATGCCTACTCCTTCATCGGATGAATGAATGATTTTGTGCAGCGCGACTATCATTGTTTATCGTCGTTTTTACGTTCTCCGCTTTTCAAATTTGATTTCGGTCATGTGTTTGTGATCAAGAATGCCCAAAAGTATTAAAATCACAAAATGTCTGTGTTCACTACATTATCATTGCTCATGCGATCTGTTTTAAATATGTTTCAAATATTCACCTGTATCAGGCGTAGTAGGGGATGTGGTGGTTTCTTTTGTTCTTGATTCCGAAGTCACAGCCTCCGTGGTTGTCGATTGGTCTATTAGGGAAAGGAAGCTGTAGAATGAACACTGTCGGTATTTATAGCATTGGGCAGATTTGGGTTAACTACATTGTATCAATCAGTTTTATTCAGTACTTAAAAGGCCACAGGCATATAGTACAATGCGTATCTACATGTAGGTGACGTGGTTGTTAACTAACAATTCTGTTTCTATGTGGCACAGTGTGATCAACATATGTTGACAGGTTACATAACATAGTATCATTAGATGAAGTTAAAAGATCTACAAACTTATGGACATTCGGTTGTACAGAGTAAAAAGATGGCAAATATTTATCTCGTAAATGTTTGTAAGCTTGACATACCAGAAGAAAGTGAAACTCATCTTCAATTGAATTTGTGTTACACAATGTGCATATTCTGTCTCTTCTATTGGTGTGATTATATCTACCAGTCTCTATATACAGGTTGTAAGAGGAACATCTAAATCGTGCTAGTGCAATTCTAAAAATTTTAAACTCAAGTTTACAGAGGTACGCCTCAATTTCAAAATTACTTTTCATGATTCTATAATATAAACATTTATTTGATTTGGACATTAATTCTAACCATTTCTGCAAATACATATCTTTTAGTCTCTGGGTGAAGGACACTTAAAAGAGCGGTTCTGATTCTACACACTGATTATACTACACATAAATATAATTAAAACCTGTAATAAAAAATAATTCTTTCACGTTTGTTACCCAAATTCGTTTTCCAGTACTGTCGTAGAGTTTTAACATATAGCACTTCCTAGGGTTTCTATCATTAGTCATGTTTATCATCATTACGGAAAGGGTTTGTGGCTTTTCTTTTCCGTTCTTTGAATGGCATGTGGAACTGATACACATGAGAGAGAGAATTTATTAATGTAAACTTCTTTATTATGAGGAACACAACGTTTCGGAGTATATGCCTACTCCTTCATCGGGTGAATGAATGATTTTGTGCAGCGCGACTATCATTGTTTATTGTCTGTTTTACGTTTTCCGCTTTTCAAATTTGATTTCGGTCATGTGTTTGTGATCAAGAATGCCCAAAAGTATTAAAATCACAAAATGTCTGTGTTCACTACATTTTTATTGCTCATGCGATCTGTTTTAAATATGTTTCAAATATTCACCTGTATCAGGCGTAGTAGGGGATGTGGTGGTTTCTTTTGTTGTTAGATTCGCAGTCACAGCCTCTGTTGTCGATTGGTCTGTTAGGGAAAGCAAGCTGTAGAATGAATACTGTCAGTATTTATAGCATTGTGCAGAATTGGGTTAACACTACATTGTATCAATATTATTAATCTAACACGTCCCATTTTAATTCTGGAAACCCAAAAGTCCAGAAACTCTACGCTCTTTGCCCAGTCTCGGTTAAAGGTATTTACAAAATTAAACATGCCGTTTTCATGGGAACATACCAAGGAAGAAAAAATGAAAAAAAAAATGTTTAAAAACTCAATATTTAGACTATGTCGCCCATGGGCCTGCCCATGGGCGAAGTGTGGCCCATGGGCCTGCCCATGGGCGAAGTCTGGCCCATGGGTAGGCCCATGGGCAGGCCCATGGGCGAGAATATGTTCCTTTACTTAAAACTCATGTTTTTGTTTCGCAAATACATTTAATGTATTCATTCAAGTATCATGACACAAAATTTAACTCATTTTAACTTAATTCAACTATTTTATAGCGATATTGAAATATTTCGCCCATGGGCGAGAAAAAGGTTTGGCCCATGGGCGAGAATATGTTCCTTTACTTAAAACTCATGATTTTGTTTCGCAAATACATTAAATGTATTTATTGAAGTATCATGACACAAAATTTAACTCATTTTAACTTAATTCAACTATTTTATAGCGATATTGAAATATTTCGCCCATGGGCGAGAAAAAGGTTTGGCCCATGGGTAGGCCCATGGGCAGGCCCATGGGCGAGAATATGTTCCTTTACTTAAAACTCATGTTTCTGTTTCGCAAATAGATTTAATGTATTTATTGAAGTATTACGACACAAAATTTAACTCATTTTAACTTAATTCAACGATTTTATAGCGATATTGAAATATTTCGCCCATGGGCGAGAAAAAGGTTTGGCCCATGGGCGAGAATATGTTCCTTTACTTAAAACTCATGATTTTGTTTCGCAAATACATTAAATGTATTTATTGAAGTATCATGACACAAAATTTAACTCATTTTAACTTAATTCAACTATTTTATAGCGATATTGAAATATTTCGCCAAGGGGCGAGAAAAAGGTTTGGCCCATGGGTAGGCCCATGGGCAGGCCCATGGGCGAGAATATGTTCCTTTACTTAAAACTCATGTTTTTGTTTCGCAAATACATTTAATGTATTCATTCAAGTACCATGACACAAAATTTAACTCATTTTAACTTAATTCAACGATTTTATAGCGATATTGAAATATTTCGCCCATGGGCGAGAAAAGGTTTGGCCCATGGGCAGGCCCATGGGCGAGAACATGTTCCTTTACTCAAAACTCGTGTTTTTGTAGCGATCTTTAATGAACCCGGCCTTACCTCTCAAAACGTTTTGACAGTTTATCATACGAATTCATGTGCGTGTACTCCAATTCATTGGAGTTATTTTCCACAACATTAAATTTTAGTTAGTTTCTATTTCATTTCCCGTTTTTTATGTCCCGTTGATACATCACACTGGGCAATTACGTGACACTAGGTATGCAATATACAGGTACGCGTGCGCGTATTTTAATGAAAAAAACTATTCGTCTTTTATTGCATAACCTTTGGCTGAATATCTTACATTCTAACGAAATCTCGAAATAATTATTTAATTACAAGCAGTGTCGAACTGACCAGTAGGAATTATGTTTCAATGCGATTGAGGAAAACGTGAGTGAATATTGTGACACTAAAGCAACTTTTAACTGCATTGTCACTTTTGGTATGAAAATGGTAACAGTTCAGAAAAAACAACAGCCTTCTTATGATAGTTCTCATTAGTACGTTGTATCTAATTACAGTGTCGGCCTTATTTACAGGTGATTCTACAATACCTGCTCTCGGTCAATTACGATCTACCACACCACGCGTGAATAAACAGTTATGCAGGTGTTGCTGTGGGCAAATACCTAGCCTGAAAATGTTTATTTTTTTTTAGGATACATGTTTTACAAATGTTCGTTGATATGTGGATATATTAAGCACAAAGACAAAAAAAATGTTTATGAAAGATGAATTAGTGCCTTGATATATTCATCGAGATGTGTATCATCGTTTAATGGGGTCATTCAATAAACGTATGTTTGGAGGAGATATCAAAGGAGCCGCCCAATATACACAGTGTCGTCCGGTGAACTACCACCCCACCCTGTCCATTAGAGTTATGTAATCGGTACACAAATATATTTGATGCGGTGTCAGTGCGGAAGGAGTTTGAATTACGTCCGCCACTTGCCACAGAAATCCTCAAAGTATAGAAACAATAAACAAGGTCAATCCGTACTAATTACCAATAGGGAAAATGGTGAAAACAAATTGAAATAGATTTTAATAAAACATTATTGTACTAAATAACTCGCAAAAGCGGTGCCTAAAATTGTTTGACCGTGTTATGTGTGTTGTAAACTGACGAATAGCAAGTAATTGTCATGCTGTACGCATGGTTCCATATACAAATTCAGTTATGCAACCGGTATGAAACTGAGAACTGAGATACCAAGTACAACCTGCATTCACACACGGAAGCAATATACTTGTGTGTATGCCCCCTCCTCTACAAAATGCATCACTAAAGTATTTGCATTGTAATAAATATAGTAATGATAAAACTTGGTAATTTGGTAGGTCTCCTACAGATATGATTTTCAGTTTTTTTTACACCTTTGATTGATACGGATTACGTACCTGTAGTCTAGTCACTGTCTCTAATGTATCTGCTTGTTAGAAATTTCAAATGTCTTGTTGTAGCACTGTTCCTAAAATACGGTAGTTTCTTTTATCGGGTATAAATAGTTGATTCGTCTTGTCACGCAGTCATTTTTACTTGATCGAATAATTTCCACAAAAAAATTACGGCAGAGAGTTTTGTATTTTATTCTATTTTTAGAAGATTTTAGAAGATGCTTACATCACTGTATCTCAGAACGCAAAACTGATAACATTCAAACATGTAATTAGTACACAGTTAATTGTTACATATAATTTCCTGCATATTCCTTTTTGAACAAAAAGCCTACATGTATACTGATATCGGTGTCCACTGTTAAAAGGGTATTAGTGCAGTCAGCCATGGTAAATGGAGAGACAATAATAAGGTGATTAATTATAGTCTGTTGCAGAATATGCGGTATAAGTGTAGTCATTGATACATATACACATTACACATATACAGATGAAATACACGATATGATGCAGTGCAAGAACAAATTAAGATACGGTTTCTATTAAAAATAATTATACGATTTTGGATTTAATTAGCATGTTTAAATTTTCAGGCCAACACGGCTGAGATACAGCATCGGCATACTCAACTGGAGTTGTTTTCTGCCGGTCGTAAGTTCATTGTTTGACTGAGCACACTCGTGTCGGGGTTGCGATATTTTCTTCTCTTTGTTGGCAGCCTGCCACCGGTCTGAATTTTGAGAAAGGTCTCAGCATGGGACTGTTAATTACTTCTTAATGATGTCTACAAGCTTACAAACTTGTAGATGTTGGGTGCGGTTAGGACCAAACTTTTTCAGCTCAGATTGTTAGTGGTCCTGGAACCCATAGTGTCAAACAGGTTCTGCACAAAACGTCCATCAGATTCTACTGTTCAGCAACATTGTCACTGAATTTCAGAACTCTGGCATGATATAATAATCAAGGATTTCGAAGGTGAACGAGGGGAAAGGCAGACGCACGTGGATTTACCCTCAGGTTATTATTGTCTGGAGTTCACATTTTGGGGCATTTCATATACTAATTGAACAGAGTTCACCTGCACATGTCCACTTTAGTGATACAGACTGTAACCAAAAATGCAATGAGCCGTAGCTCTTAATCCCTTATAACAACGGTAACAACAACCAGGGTGAGGACACAGTAAGGTTAAACCGTGTCCAACAGACAAACTGAGGTGGCTATCTCCCATCAAGTCAGCTCTGTTTTTAAGCGCATAGTTATGTTTTTACATATTGAAATAAAAGGAATTTAAAAAATTATATTTAACAAACCTACACATTACCAAATACAAAACTTTATAACCCTTTCTAGACTTCGTTCCAATTAACCTGGATCATTCAACTCGCTCGCGAAGGTCGTATGCGACTTTAAAGTGAATACGTCTACAGTGTACAAGTAACTTTTAACTGTATCATATATACTCATGATAAGCAATTATTTTCGTTCCTAATTCGAATGAGCACATTCTGAGGCTAAATCTGCAAAAGGACAGATAAAATATTTCTTTGTACAATGCAAACGATACAAACGTAGCGGCTGATAATAGATACAATGATTTAATAATCTGCAATATATCAAGTGTTCTCGTTCAATCTATTGTACATATTGAAGTGATTGTAAAGTTTCAAGGAGTACTAAAATGTTGTGGTATTATGAATGTATTTACAATATGAATAGCGAAAAACAGTCACCATATCGGATGTACATGTATAACTTGTCTTCCAACACCACGCTTGTGCCGAGGCCCATGGTCATAAAACTAATCGGTCCCATAAAAGGAGCAAATAGTTTCGCAGATACTTCTTGCTATGGTTCACTCCCAATTGTCAGACGACCTAATCATCAGTCAGACCAGTCAAGTGTGACCAGCGTACCTGTCTGGTTTTGGCTCCAAATTACTGAACTGCCCAATACTGTCATACTGTGGGCAGAGTAAGCGGCCTCGTTGAGTGATACAGACTAACCAGATTATGATTGTGTTTGTAAGTTGCGTTTAATCTGTGTCGGGTTGCAGTTGTTTTATTAGTCAAGACTAGGGGTAGTTTTTTCAATGAAACCTTTTAGCCGTTGAGTTTGTTTTGCATTCATTTCATTAAATACATTGTTAGGTAGAATAATAACACGTTATATGGATTAAACATCTCCCTAATCTGAGTATAATCTCACATGTACTCTAAGTACCGTACTATATTACTTTGCGGAGTCACTGAGTATATTTTTTTAGTTGGCATTGTATGCTGTCTGATGACTTTATACAAATCCCTGCATTCAATAGACCCGTGAAGATCTTCAACAAACCATTCTTGGCGTAAAAGGGCGACAGCGCTTGTCGTAAGAAGCGACTACCGGGATCGGGTGGTCAGGCTCGCTGACTTGGTTGATGCATGTCATCGTATCCCAATTGCGTGGATCGATGCACATGATGTCAATCACTGGATTGTCTGGTCCAGACTCGATTATTTACAGACCGCCGTCATACAGCTGAAATATTGCTTAGTGTGGCGTTATACAACTAACAAACAAACAAAACACAAAAAGAGAAAGTGTATGAGTACTAAAACTTGCAATAGATATGCGTACCCTACGTACACACATGAGTCCGATTCGACAGTCTACAACACACGAATAACTGTCAAACAAGTTTGGGTACCCCTTCTGTTCAGGCAAGTTATTTAGTTCGATTAATTTTGTATTAAAATCCTTTTCAATTTGTTTTCATCCTTTGTCCCTATTCCATGCATGTTTATGTTGCTACATCTTATTGCTCATGTTTCCAAGTATTGTAAAACACTTTAATGTTTCTCCTTCTTAATCTAACGTTATAACATTTCCGGTCATTGCCATCATCTAATACACAAGAGATGATACCAAGACATATTTTATTCGGTTTTATGGTCTATGCGGTCTTACAATTGATTTTATTAGTCTTTAAATCTTATGTCTAGTAAATATTTTCACAAACAGGGCTGTTAACTGATATAAGGAATGTGACATCCAGTTGAGGACTGAATACGACGTACGTTAGTCTGGTAACGACATTTCTACAATAATTTGTTGAATAAACCGTTAATACGCCAGTTGTGACAGGGATGATGGTATGGTAGATGTAGCAGACATATTGACAGCCGTTGTTACGAGAGTCACTAGGTTATTAGTACGGCATTGGCCTTGTTGATTGGTACTATACTTTCTGTGGCCACTGGCGGACGTAATTCAAACTCCTTCCACACTGACATCGCACCAAATATTTTTGTGTACCGATTACATAACTCTTACTGACAGGGTAGGGTGGTAGTTCACGCGAAACGGACGACACTGTGTATATTGAGCGGCTCCTTTGATATCGCCTCACAACATACTTTTAATGAATGACCAATTAAACGATGATACACATCAGGATCGCGGAGAAAATACAAGCTTCGTTCGCGTTGAATATATATATCAAGGCACAAATTCATCTTTCATAAACTTTTTATGTCTTGGTGCTTAATATATCCACATATCAACGAAAATATGTAATACATGTATCCACAAAAATATACATGTACAGGCTAGGTATTTGCCCACAGCAACACCTGCATAACTGTTTATTCACGCGTGGTGTGGCAGATTGTAATTGACCGACAACAAGTATTGTAGAACCACCTGTAAATAAGGCCGACACTGTAATTAGACACAACGTACTAATGAGAATATGAGAATTATCATAAGAAGGCTGTTACGTTTTTCTTAACTATTACCATTTTCATACCAAAAGTGACAATGCAGTTAAAAGTTGCTTTAGTGTCACAATATTCACTCACGTTTTCCTCAATCGCATTGAAACATAATTCCTACTGGTCAGTTCGACACTGCTTGTAATTAAATAATTATTTCGAGATTTCGTTAGAATGTAAGATATTTAGCCAAAGGTTATGCAATAAAAGACGAATAGTTTTTTTCATTAAAATACGCGCACGCGTACCTGTATATTGCATACCTAGTGTCACGTAATTGCCCAGTGTGATGTATCAACGGGACAAAAAAAACGGGAAATGAAATAGAAACTAACTAAAATTAAATGTTGTGGAAAATAACTCCAATGAATTGGAGTACACGCACATGAATTCGTATGATAAACTGTCAAAACGTTTTGAGAGGTAAGGCCGGGTTCATTAAAGATCGCTACAAAAACACGAGTTTTGAGTAAAGGAACATGTTCTCGCCCATGGGCCTGCCCATGGGCCTACCCATGGGCCAAACCTTTTTCTCGCCCATGGGCGAAATATTTCAATATCGCTATAAAATAGTTGAATTAAGTTAAAATGAGTTAAATTTTGTGTCATGATACTTCAATAAATACATTTAATGTATTTGCGAAACAAAATCATGAGTTTTAAGTAAAGGAACATATTCTCGCCCATGGGCCAAACCTTTTTCTCGCCCATGGGCGAAATATTTCAATATCGCTATAAAATAGTTGAATTAAGTTAAAATGAGTTAAATTCTGTGTCATGATACTTCAATAAATACATTTAATGTATTTGCGAAACCAAATCATGAGTTTTAAGTAAAGGAACATATTCTCGCCCATGGGCCAAACCTTTTTCTCGCCCATTGGCGAAATATTTCAATATCGCTATAAAATCGTTGAATTAAGTTAAAATGAGTTAAATTTTGTGTCGTAATACTTCAATAAATACATTAAATCTATTTGCGAAACAAAATCATGAGTTTTAAGTAAAGGAACATATTCTCGCCCATGGGCCTGTCCATGGGCCTACCCATGGGCCAAACCTTTTCTCGCCCATGGGCGAAATATTTCAATATCGCTATAAAATAGTTGAATTAAGTTAAAATGAGTTAAATTTTGTGTCATGATACTTCAATAAATACATTTAATGTATTTGCGAAACAAAATCATGATTTTTAAGTAAAGGAACATGTTCTCGCCCATGGGCCAAACCTTTTTCTCGCCCATGGGCGAAATATTTCAATATCGCTATAAAATCGTTGAATTAAGTTAAAATGAGTTAAATTTTGTGTCATGATACTTCAATAAATACATTTAATGTATTTGCGAAACAAAATCATGAGTTTTAAGTAAAGGAACATATTCTCGCCCATGGGCCAAACCTTTTTCTCGCCCATTGGCGAAATATTTCAATATCGCTATAAAATCGTTGAATTAAGTTAAAATGAGTTAAATTTTGTGTCATGATACTTCAATAAATACATTAAATGTATTTGCGAAACAAAAACATGAGTTTTAAGTAGAGGAAAATATTCTCGCCCATGGGCCTGCCCATGGGCCTACCCATGAGCCAGACTTCGCCCATGGGCAGGCCCATGGGCGACATAGTCTAAATATTGAGTTTTTAAACAATTTTTTTTTCATTTTTTCTTCCTTGGTATGTTCCCATGAAAACGGCATGTTTAATTTTGTAAATACCTTTAACCGATACTGGGCAAAGAGCGTAGAGTTTCTGGACTTTTGGGTTTCCAGAATTAAAATGGGACGTGTTATCTTAATTCTCATTAATAAGGATGTTACAGAAATGTTTTAAATATACATGTGAAATACCACACGCAAATGTTCAAAAGTAATAATATAAATATGTAAAGGTAATCAGCTGATCACGTATTCCCGGGGCCATAAAACATCGTTATCAATCGACACTCACTCATAGTAATAGAAGGTGTACTTGTTGTTGTTGCAGTTGTCGGTGTGGCCGAAGTACTTTGACTGGTTGTTCCTGGTGAACGTGATGGCTGCTGTGTTGACGGGGTTACTGATGTGGCTGATACATCCGATATTTGTCTCGTGGAAGTTATATTCATTTGACCTGAAGCTATTAATAACATATTTCTGTAGCAATCACTATATCATCGTCACACATTTATCTTAAAGAAGGGATGTAAATTCTTGACATTGTGAGAAACTAGCAGAACTATTGAGCCGCGTGTCATGTATATATTTACTAAGGAATTGGTTCCAATACAAACTACTGTGAAAACAGTATATACGTTGAATGGTTCTGGATACCAGTCACGTCAAATATCATCAAATTATCTGAGTAGATCATGGATCAATGTCAAAAGATTTTTTTTTCAATGTGGCTCACTGCATTTTCGTTTGGCGGTTCTGAAGTCTGTGTCGAAATTGTAGTTTGAAATATGATACATTTGACAAACCAGACATTAACTGTTCATGATATTAATGGAATCTAATCATTAAAAGGGATCACACTGGAAGCACTTAAAGTAAATGGAATTAATTTCACGTTTTCTCGGAAAATGAAGCAACATTTTAATCATGCTGGGAATCAGATTTTCTTTAAGCGTAAATTCGTAATTACATTAATTGATAGACATATTTTATCAAAACACTCATACGTACCCTCAACACGTATCCATACATTTGATCCATTCTGACCATGGTTATCATAGACTACTACTACTACTTCGTCAGCTGTTGCCTGTAATAGCCTGTTGTATTGGTTCACGTTCACGCTTGTCCAGAGTTGTTTCCCGTCACCTGAGATATTAAGTAACCCTGTCTTCATCCGCTCTTCTACCAATGTTACTCGTATGTTCTGCCCTGTGATCCTAACAATACAGCTGCTGTTCACACCGACACTGTCAGGGAAGCCCGGGGAATGGAGGTACACCGACCCGTGTACTGTTGTTTCTGTACTACACAAATCCATACTGCCTGAAACACAGTGCATATGACAAGTAGAACAATTTACATGTTGGGTTAAAATTAGCGACATGTGCTGTGGGTCATATCAAGCAAATTGCTCACACGCATGCTTGTTTTTGTATTGGCATCCGGTAGATCAAGGACAAAATGAAGGGAACGCGAATTTCAAATGTAAGGATATCGAATTACTTTCCTACCGGTAACAGTTAGGTGACAATCGGAATATACAGCTGGTCATGATGTTAGATAAGTGATTGGCAGCATCCTTTGGCCGGTGATTACAGAGCATATACTCTTGATGGCAATGGTGATGAAAATATGAGATGAATACAGTACAGCATTCCCGTGTATTTTGTTGTGCCATGAAAATGGTCCAATTAATATCAAACACGATTCTGAAACATGGTACTTACACACGTCTAACCTCTGATCTCCATGTCAAGATGTGTTAATGAATATTGTAACAAACAAGATGATATTACTTAGAGCCATTTGTTTTTTCGTTTCTCAAAACTAAGTTATGAGGAACAATACTAACACAAACATGGTTGCTGTTAACATAGTTATACCTTATACGTGCATGTATCTATGGAAGTATCGTGAAGACGCGAATTACACGTAATCGACACATGTATTTGCATAAGGCAACATCTGAATACGTAACTAATTACGTTACAACCATTTAAGATGTTGTCCCGTGTGACATCATTGTTGTATCTTAAACCTACTGCCACAGTATACTGTAATATTTGACTTTTTTTCAATAAACTTTGTTAGTAGCTATAGTGAACTAATACTGAGTCAGAGGCATTATTTATGTAAGTGCAGTACAGCCACAATCTTTAAATCAAATAGTGTTCCTGGCCTCAAGACACTAATCGTTGGTCTCGAGATCTGCAGTCACTGACTCAGGATATTATGTCCTGAATTGTTTATCCGATAAGACAACTTCAATTTCCTACAAGCTCACGATTCGCACATGGATGCAGTATGCAAATTGGATGATTTCGTTTGTATTTTGTTACCACTGTCCCACGATACAGTAACGTGAGGTGAGGTGAATTGGGATTCAATACCGCGTTGAAATATTAGTGCACTCTTATAGTGACGTCCCGCGACTTTTGCCGGTTTTATAGTGCCTCAGTTTTATCCCCTCAATTCAAAGCGCCAGGGTAAGCCAGACAGAGTAAGAAGAAGTTATATCATCTTTTAACACCTTTTGGAATGACGCGACTTGGGGGATGGAAGTTACGATCTCTGGGCATTCGATCTATCCACTCGACCACGAAGGGGGTCCGTCCAAAGACTAACCAGTCAGTCTTGCGATGACATCATTAGGCTAACACTACTCTTACTTGATTCCGGCAGTGTCTCATAGCAAACTAAGAATTATAAAAATGGGTTTGAGTTTGTATAACACCGTCTTGTACAGTATTTCAGTTATATCAGAGATCCTGGCCTTGGTAGTTTACCACTTCAGTGAAACCCATGAGCACGGGTATGGTTTATAAACCTCAACGCAGTCAAGGGCGAACCGGGATTCAGACGGCTGGGTCACCCGCGGCCACATAATATATAATATGTTTGAAACCTTCTGACTAGAGGCCGCAAAACACCAATGATCATGATCACCCGTACCTTTCGCCATCTCTTTTCACACAACCCGCCGTGATATTGCTGGAATATTGCTAAAAGCGGCGTAAAACCATACTCACTCACTCACTCTTTTCACACAAAAATTAAACATACATGTATTTACACTTCTTCACATAACGTTGATAGAGACAGGAAGTATACGTAGAATTTGTATTCATATCAAAACTACATTTAACACAAAGATTTGTTTTAAATGTTAACAGCAAATGTTGACAGCGATACATGTGTGAATTATGCCAAAGCATGATATGAGCATGAATGAACTGTTAAAGTTAATTTGTAGTTGAAAATCAGGAAAATTTAATAACATTCTCGCCTAACAGCGTCAAGTAAATTATCGCGTTTGGGTCAGGCAAACCAGTACGATGCTAAATCAGCCAGAATACATATTGTAACTAACCGATTTTTATTGAAGTCGGCACTTACGACCCCTGCATAAAGACATGTATTGTGTGATGTGAAGACAATGAAAAAGATTTTGGGTGATGATATGCACGTCGAGATCAAATGTCAAAGAACGGCAAACAACGAATGTGACAGATCCAGGCTTGACAGAAAATGTAATAATCATGGTTCTTTGCAACAAATACGATAGAGAGCTAATGATTATAAGGTACACGTGAACACACATACTCTTTTATACATCATGTAATGCACGTACGACTATTAGGTTTACAATGTAGTGAAACATGTAGACATTACTGAACAGTGGACCGCCTCCGTGGTCTAGTGGTAGTGCTTCCGCCCGGTTTGATCCCCGGCCGCGTCATGGCAAAAAACGTTAAAAGATAGTACTTGTCTGTCTGGCGCTCGGCATTAAGGGGCTAAAACAAGGACTGGTAGGCTCGGAGTCAGTATACTTTGTTTCAGTGGGGTATTCATGTTAAACTGCGTTTGAAATGCAACCCCGGGCCAAGTATATAATTGATACAGGACCAACACGAGCACATTTATCAATCACCTAAATGTGACTTGCACATGTTGATGGGCCTTTTACATGTATGATCAAGATAAGAGCGATTTTTTTTCTATCTGGGCGTTTCTTTGAACGAAAAGCTACCTAATCACACGTATGTACAATGCCATGGATTTCATAAAACGTACAGCATAAAACACATATTTCATCGTTCATAAATTGATCAACTATTAGTAAGTAAATATTGAGTTATTTTCATAAAGTTTCTTCTACGTCGCCGAGGCAGAAGACTACATTCGTTTGCCATTCGGTGGGGTGGTGGGAAGGGTGTGGGGGAGATTGCGGGTTCGAATCCCGCTGGCAACACGTGTTTCGTGTACTTTTTCTTTCACCAAGGGATATGATAGGTAAAAGAGTTCCGTCATTGCCAAGTTGTCTCGAATTATGATTAACAATTCAGTCAGGCAATGCCCGGTCAAAGACAAAAGCGCCATGGCTTTAACTGGCGTCTCACCTTGAATGCAGTTGTACTGTACTTCCGCAGCAGCATCTGTAAAGTTACAGTTTGTTCGGGGTGTTGGCTGTATGGTTTCACGGCATAATTGTTTTCCATTACAGTTGACGATCAGGCCATTCTGGCTGCTGTTGTGAACCCTACTACACGACAGATCATATTTCAGGCGACATGTTGTGGTGTCTCCATCTCCATACGCCTCGTTCTTGACATGTATCCATTCACCGGCAGAACAGTTTAGCTGTACTGTAAAGCTACCTGGCAACCCCTCTATACACCTGTTCCCAGTTCTGGTGTCACCTTTGAATATAATGTAACCGTTCACTGTCAAATATACTTGGCTAAATATGATGTAAAGATATTACTACAGTCAGGAAATACCATAATATTATGCATTTTTAAACAAACGAGTGCATTTATGTATTTAAGACATTCGTGAATGTACTGATGTTTCAAATACGATATTACTGATGAAATCATAATGTATGACTACCAAATATACTCTATGTGTAACGAGAGGGCTCTTAGCATATTTCATTTCCCCAAACTGGTGAGTATATATATATATATATATTGATACGTAAATGGTGCAAACGAAGTCTGACATTGCCTATTGTATTAATGGTGTAGACATTTCTAATAGTATCTCAAATCAGCATAACGTCAGTGTGTATTATGCTGATACTTGGTTGTGCAAATGAATCCCTTTGCACTCTACATAAGTGAAACACGACTGGCATTTCTAAGTCTAAGTCAGGAAAAGACTATTGTCTCAACTCTACTAACATATGAGCTCACGTAGTTTACGTTGTAAGTGAAGAAAGGCTAGTGCACAATTACATTCAGTGACACCAAGGGAGTTTGACGTTCGCACTTCTGTCAATTCAGTCATAACAAATCACTGACTAAAGGGAACGTCTATAATCTTTTACTCACCGTGTGCTGCCAATAAGAAATGTACACACACCACAAACGCTCTTTCAACATACATAGCTGTTAATCCCATTTCTCAGAAGTACAATACGTCCTTTTTTTCATCCATGGATACACAACACGTCGATCCTATTCAGGCATGACATGTCGTTCAGCTGTTGTATTCTTATTCAGTATGTAGCAAGTCACCTCGCTGAAGTCAAAAATGAATCACAATGTAAACAATTTTCGCAGGATCATTTCAACACTGTTAGCACGTAATCACTCTCCAAAGACATCTTCAAAGTGTCGATTTCCACCCCAATGAATCATGCAGGTATACCTTCAACCATAGTTTCATACCAAGCTCACAGGTAACAACATGTCATAACCAACACAAGCCAAACAAGACCCGGCAAACCCAACAAGGTGGGCTGGAGCTATTGACACTTAATGTAATAGTTCAGGGTCCCTAGTGGCCTATGAGGTGGCGGTTGTAACAAGGAAGTAAAATTACTACAAATTTCAGAATGCGTCAATGCGTAATGGTATTTCACATGTGAGGGTAAACATAGAGATTGCGATTGTCAGTGAAGTACTGTTTATACTCAGAGCCTCTGCATGCATGGAATCATAAAAAGGGAGAATAAATGTAAACAATACAATATGGCAGATCCGGACATTCGCCAAAAATGGAAAGATGCACGTCGGGTCTTTTTAAAGGGTTAAAAGTAAATAACACAGACATAATTACACCAAATACACTGTAACTCACCTATCCCACTGGTCAATTGATGTATTTCATTCAGTCGTAAGGTCTGTGGCATAACAGCAGTACTCAAAATATATTGTGTTAACTGACAAAATAGAACCACATAACATCTTATGGAAGTGCATTTGATGCTCTAAGTCACATCAGGATAAGGAAACAAATGCAGTTAGACTTTTCTAAGATGCAGTGCCACGGCTACAGTGAGTGATTCGGTTAACAGCTTTAATGTTTTCATCCGTTGCTAATCATCAGCGATTTTCTTGATTTTAAATATGTTCCACTGACACGTATTTTAGTGCTATATCTGTCTTGTTTGATATCTGTCATACTTGACGGGGAACGAAAGTTCAAAGGTATGGGCAACTCGCGTCCACCATTTTATGAGGCATGTTAGGCTAGGTATTGACACTCGTATTAATTTGGTGGCGCATTATATTCACGATACAGTAATTGTTTATGATACTGAATGTTTGTTAGCAGCATTCCAGCTGTAAGTCGATGTCCCGGCTATAATCGAATCTGGGATTTACAAACCAGTGATTGATATCATGAGTTATGTACCATGCCGCTAGAGTACGATCAACGTTGGCCTGACAACCCGCCTCTAACGACAAATATTGGTTGCCGGGGACCTTAATTCTCACCCGAAATTCCCCATGGGGTGTTAATAGTTTACAGAACACAGAGAAGATATTATTGTTTTCTATCTAGAAGTGTATTAAAACTATGACATAATTCAAATAATTCACTATATCACACTTACAAAATACTTTGATAAGTTTGAATATTATACAATTCTTCATAAGTAATACAAAACCGAACAAAATACATTGTTTGGGAAACGTTTTTATGTATTCTCATGAATGGTGACGCTACTTTGTATGTGTTGAGTGAGTGAATGGATGTTTACACTGCAGTTAGAAACAATCCTGCTAAGAGAAACAATCCATGCCCTCCTAGTATAGCCTTCGCACACCCGGTGATCAGTTTAGCAGCCATCAAACCGCAAAAGAGTGTGTAGAGAAATGGAAAAGCGCCCAGGTCGTTGACTTAATGACCAACTTCAACAAGCAGAAATAAACTCCACTCGAGTACCTGGATGCTGTTGGCCAACTACTTCACCATGGGTAGGCTATTGCTTCATGTACAATTTATAAATAGACTCATTCATAAAATACAACTTTAATCTTCAATTCTTTCTGGGAATTCTGCATGGGTGAAATAAATATTTACTTTGCTAAATATGCACCATGCCGTGAATTCGTTTTAGAAATAAATGCGCTTTGCATAGAACACCATAGACAATCTGCATGTATCCATTACCACTGTAACGTTCGGTAAATTCCGAAGTCACCAGGCCATCAAGGGCAAAACCATTTCCTGTGTGGTCAGTCTCTATAAGAGATTCTGCCATCAGTTGATCTTGTGTACCGATCACACGCATCAGGTGTATTTAATTTTCCTCTTTTACTGCAAGTATGGGTTGCTGAAGACCTGTTCTACCCTGGATTTTCAAGAGTGTTATTCACTTTCTAATGGCATCTTAAATAAAGAACATGCAATATTTAAACCCCACTGTGTTGAATGAGTCACATTATTTGACCAAACATATTTTGAGTGGTTTAATTTTGATATTATATACTTACAACGCAATGACATAGTATTTTCTTATTCCAGACTTACGTCTATCAACATGTGAACTTAACTACGTCATGTACTGACGCAAGGGAAAATATGCTAATATCAACTTCAATTTATATCCACGGTCGCGATTTGTAGTCAACACATGTTTGATTTGATACAAGATATACCTGACATGGGTTGATCAAGGAAAACGAATCGGCCAATGTTAATCAGTAATTAATATTTATGATTTAATGACGTTATTATAGATCGATTGGATTTGACGGGATAGATAGACAGGCTGGGTGTGTCATTTTGCAATACTAGCTGAGCGGAGAAAGACATGCTAGTGCAACTGTGTGGTTCTTGGTTCTCCACGATCCGATAAGAAATGGGCACTAACAGTTTTGCCTTTTGGGCTTGTTTGCTATTCAGCATGCGGTGTTTGCACATTTCCACAGGTAAGTTTGCCTGAATATTTTAAACGTTTAATTGTACAATTACGAAACTGGGTCCACAGAGATACATGCATGTCGACCAGTCACCTCAGTCAGCATCAATGGACCCAGGTGCCCAGGCATACATGCATGAAGGGACCTAGGTACACAGGCATACATGCATGCATAAGGAAGGTTGAATACAAACACGTGATTTCTAGTTCTTACTTCTACCTACCTATCTTCAGCATCAGTGATCTAGCTTATTTTTTTGTCTATCTATTAGATGCAACAATAATAAGAAAAGTAATACGTACATTTTTTTTTTCAGCCGACACCACAATGCCGGAAGGAGGATCTAGCACGACGAATCAACCTGATACATCCATCTCTGGTACCACTACGTCAGGTAATTTCTTGTCACCAAGTACAATGGTTGGTTGGTTGGTTAGCTGGTTGTTTAACGCCGCACTCAGCAATATTCCAGCTATATGACGGCGGTCTGTAAAAAATTGAGTCTGGACCAGACAATCCAGTGATTAATATCATGAGCATCGATCCACGTAATAGGGATCGATGACATGCATCAACGAAGTCAGCGAGTCTGACCACCCGATCCCGTTAGTCGCCTCTTACGACAAGCATAGTTGCCTTTTTAAGGCAAACGTGGGTTGCTGAAGACCTATATATTCTACCCCTGATCATCACGGGTCCCAAGTACAATGTACACAGTTGTAGCTTCTGCCTAGAATGCATGATATATTCCAATCTATTTGGCAAATGCCATGTTCATGTTATCATGCGAGGAAGAGAATTTTGCCATCAGTGCACATATCCTTAATGTATCCGTATATCATGAAGTCATAACGAATTTTGTACTTTTTCTAGGAGATAAAAGAGTTATGCATTCGTACATTCCATTGACGACATTGACCATATTCGTTTTGTGTGATTATTTTATACTCTTATATACATGCACATGACTTTCGATACTTTTCAACAGGTTCGACCGACAACTCAACTTTACCATTGACAACAACCCCCACAAGCACCAGTGTCCAGACGTCTCCATCGTGTTAGTAGGTTTAATCTGTCAGCTAGAGTTGGATCATGCTAGAAGTACTGAACGAAAGGCTATTCAGTGGGCACCTGTGGCATTTATAATGTTTGTCAAACATGATTGCAAATTACAAAATGATTAAGTAGTGTCATTTGTAGACATGTGCTTGTTTGAAATTATTTCATTCACACAATGTAAAATGACAATAAATGATTCTAAGCAAGACACGGTATCTTTTGCTGAACACATACATGTATGGATGGTAATTAGTACAATGTATTGTACTTCAACTTGTTGACAGTGCAAAAAGCTAAGAATTTTGAATATGATGATTTTGCAACAGAATATGTGTACCATTCAAGGCACCAGTTAAATAAATTGTATAGGGATCGTCCACTGACAAAGTCGAATACCTGTAAGTTTCATACATGGAAATTAAATGATTTTGTCATTATGGCTTACTAGGTTGTGCGTATGTTTTTTGTTTCTATCTTTTCAGCGACACAGAGAGAGACCCCAACTGACCAAACGATCATGACCTCAACTACATCAAAAGGTAACCATCAACCCATTCAACGAGTGTGTGTTGAAATGCGTTGTAGATGTAAGGAGGCTTACTAATCACAGTGTCAGTTCTGCCGATATATTGGCATAATGCTTTGGCGAACATAACAAGTACCTGAACCCCGAAAATGACTTTTTGAGTTAGTGAGTTAGTTAGTTAGTGACTGAGTGGGTGGGTGGGTGGGCACCCTGGGTTGGTGGGTGGGTGAGTGAGTGAGTGAGCGAGTGAGTGAGTGAGCGAGTGGGGAAGTGGGTGGGTGTGTGGGTGGGTGGTTGGGTGAGTGAGTGACTCCAGGAAATTAAATAAATATAATGTGAAATAAGCATTTCTTATTTACTTTGTACGTATGCACATCTCGATGCATGACAACGCTAAACACATGAAATTTTGATGTACGTAAAACTGGTAGGATATTTTTCAGAAGAAGGCCCCTCAACTTCCCCAGGCGATAAGACGACAGCTGCCCCACAGATTACAAGTATACGATTTACAACTCTTATCAACTTTCACAATCGCTTCAGTATATGACTTTAATACCATTCACACATCGAAAACTAACGCAGAACACCCATGTTCGATTCTGCATATGGGTAATTTTTGCGAAGCCCGTTCTAAAAATGCCTGCCGTTATTTGCCTTGAACGGTGATAATGGCGAAAGACCATACCCACTCGTGATAAGTATTCAATGAAACAAAGAGCATCACAAGTTATGTATCGGGGTGTGGGTATATAGAATTAAGTGATTTTTGTTTATATATACTCTTCAAAAAATGAAACGCACAGGTAGATAGAAAATTTATTGTACCTAATAAAGTCGATATATTCAAATTAATATCATAGATACAAATATGAAATTTTGGAACTCGATAGTCACATGTTGTCGTTGTACCCAGGCTTTGAAACTGTTCATTGTCATGACACATAAGGCCACAAGGTTGCGCTGAACTCAGTATCTCGTGTGACCGGCCCGGGCAGCAATGCATCTCCTCCGCACTGACTGGATAAGTGCACGAATTCTGTCCTGCGGAATTCTTGGCCAGTCTGCTTGTAACGCGTTGGCCATTTGTGGGAGTGTCTCCCAGAGGTGTTCGATCTGAAGATCTCGACGACCAGGGCAAGTCGTTGATGTGTCTTCCGTGACACAGGCTGTGTGCGGTTGAGCGTTGTCCTGGTAAAAAAGCTCCCTCTGACGGTCAATGATTGAAAGAAGGTGAGGTTGAAGAATTTGATTCATGTAGTGATTTCCTGTCAAATTTCCCTGAACCACAACCAAGTAAGATTTCGTGGTGTATGATATGGCCCTCACACCATGACACTACCGCCACCGAATTTGTCGAATTCGCGTACACAATGTGGGGCAAAACGCTCATTTCGACGACGATGAACACGTTGTCTTCCATCCTGCCGGTGAAGAAGATATCGTGATTCATCGCTAAACCACACTCGTCTCCAGTTTCTCCAGTTTCCCAAATTCCAAGGCATGTGTATGTCACCAACGCAAGCGTCGCTGTCAATGGATCTGTTGCAAAACAGGGACGATAACTGGTCTTCTAGGTCGGATTCCAGCCTTGCGAAGATGGTTCCTGACAGTCTGGTCCGATATCCTCCTCAAACCAGGGATGCGTCCTGCAGTCTCCGTAGCTGTGGCATTGCAATGACGTAGGTGGAACAGTCGAATGTAGCGATCCTGTGCAGGGGTGGTAACTCTTGGTCGGCAGGTTCTCGGACGGTCGGCAATGGAATTGAACTGTGTGTATCCGTCACAAAGGCAGCAAATCGTGCTGTAGTGGACGTTGAAGTGGCGTCCCCTTTTTGGATACGTCCTATGGGGACGTTCCGATCAGCAGCTTTGAGTCTCGGCATTTTCGAATTTGAATGACAAATTATTGGCTTATGCTTGCCTTTTTATAGCCACTACCACGAGTTACGAATGCCACAACTTGCACGTGCATTTTGCTTTACTGTTTTCCTCCATGACATTTTTGAACAAGTGTGAAAACAATGCCGTTTAAGACATTGCATATCGACAATGGCCGCGTTTTGACGCACCTTTTGTCAAATATCCGGCCACCAACATTTTCAAATTACATATATCCAATTTATATACCGTATGTTTTTTTGTAGTCAGGTTCAATGAACTACAATGAACTACATACTACCTGTGCGTTTTTTAATAGTGTATGTATATGCACCAACACATAGAGTAAATTTGCGTTTAACTCCTCCTGTGTACCATATTTCAATGAACAGCGAATCGCGGCGCCTTAGACGAAGTTTACACACCACATTTGCATCTAAATATAGTGACTTCCTGACGACTGCTTGCATTAAAAAGTACAACAGTCCTGACGACTAATCATTGTCCAAACACAAAGCAATGAGCACATTTACAATCTTTGTTAAACAATAGAATACAGTGCCATATAACAACCTATGGAATAACAATGACTGAGGTGAGGGACAAGAACATGCCCATGATATGGATATCTACATGTGTGTATGTGCACTTAATCACTCCTGCCAGGGGGGCGGTCGGGTAGCTAAGTGGTTGAAGCCTTCGCTTGTCACGCCGAAGATCCGGGTTCGATTCCCGACATGGGTACAATGTGTGAAACCAATTTCTGGTGTCCCCGCGATATTGCTGGAATATTGCTAAAAGCGGTGTAAAACCATACTCACTCACGCACGCACGCACGCATGCACGCACGCACGCACGCACGCACTCACGCACTCACGCACTCACTCACTCACTCACGCACGCACGCACTCACTCACTCACTCACTCACTCACTCACTCACTCCTGCCAGGTCGCTTACTCCATTCGTCCAGTCTGATCATTGCACCAGTGTGACGACTGCATTCCAAACTACTTTGCATGATATTCCCCAAGATGTATGCACACGAGGAGATCAACTTGACAGCAACTGAATTAGCATTGTGTCCTCGTGTCAATGGTCAAAGCATGAAATCCTTACATTCTTCTGTAAAAGCAACCCAAAGTCAAACTAGTCACGGAAATCAGAACATAATATATCCTATTCAAACAATGATCCATATGACAACTTGGATGGTATTTATAATGGTATACTAATTTAAAACAAATACATTTAAAACACCATATGCGATATTGTGTTTCACATGAAACATAACTTCTCCCATCAGTGTCAAAGTTACAGAATATGTATTTCTGACTACAAAAACACACCTGTGATAAAAACGTTATAGATTGCTTGTATAATGGCGTTTTAACAGTACATACACATTTGAAATATATAGCTCCAGGTGTTCCACAGTTGGTGTTCATTGTGGCAGCCGCTTCAGCGAGTGCAGCAGCAGTCATCGTCAGCCTTGTGCTCTTGATCGTATGCTGGTGAGTCTGTAACGATCAGTCAGAAAGAAGGAGGATTCTATTCAGTAGGGTTGTCACTTCGGGCTATTACATGTTGTGTTATTCTCAAGCTTAAGTAGTGCTTGTATTCAATAATGAGAGATAGTGTTTAAAGCCACAGTAAGAAATCTGACAACTACGTCATGGCGACCTGTAAATGATCAAATGTTTGCCAGGCAGCTCAGTGGTTGATGCATGAACACGCCGTCTCGGTACGATTCATAATAGTTAATGTCACAAAGATATCCACCCGACCCCCTTTAGCCGCCTCTTACAACAGAAACCGATTATTTGGTTTGGGACATATCCTAACCAGAAATTCTCTGTAATGACACATTGATGGTCAAGGTTCGCATTTGAAGGTTTTGATCCTGTGGACATGACGGCGTGGAGTATCTGATATCGTTCAATAATGGTCGAAAAGCCCATTCCGTTAAACTGATTTACCCATCTGAACTAGAAATAAGAAAAACCAATGAAACCGCCTCATTCGTTTCATATTAAGATATATTTATAAAGATTGAGGGTGACAAAATACTCTCCACAACACAGCATGCAAAACAAGAAGTGTGAATTTGGTGTCTATATTTCCCAACATTTGAGTTACAATAGAAGTGCTCCTTCTACGAAGATTTAAAAGATGGCCATACGACTCTATCTGAAAAGTTGTTTGACCTGGGGTACAACATACAATGGCTCAGTAAAGCTTCAAACTTTTATGGTAGAAAAGTGACAGAAAGTATGTCCCTTGCAACTCACTATTTTGACTTGAATCATTTGTTCATGTGTTTTTAGGTGAAAAATTGACTTGCCTTTGCATGTGTTTCTGACGTGTGCATCCTTCGGGAAGGATACGCTCACCTTTTCGCGAACACCTGGTATCATCACTATTTGAGAGTGATTCATGAACACATGGTTATGATATGGTCGGAATCGTACAGAAGACTCTGCTTTCAGTAGAGACATCTTATGATAATGGACATGTTTTTTCGTTTTTATTGCTATCTTTAAGAGTTTTACTCACGAGTGTCTTTGTTTTCAATTTCATTTCAGTAAAATCACGAAACACAACATTTCCCCTAACCACGAAAATGCGGATGTGAACCGTAACAAGGCCAATAAATCTAGAGTCAGAAATTCTATCAATTCTACTATCTATGAAGAGTCAGATGTGGCACGTGGACACCAGGGCACGGACAATCGAGACATGTCGCCATACAACACCAACGCTCACAGCAACTACCGTGAACATCTCCGCCAGTTGCAGAATAGGAAAAAAGTCAGTTCTGCAATCTATGAAGAGTCAGATGTTATCCGTGGACATCTTGGAGCGGAAATGCGAGAAGCGACTCCATACAAGACCGATGCTGCCAGCAACTTACACTCGGATCACCAGTTGCAGAGTAGGACAGCCGCCATTTCGACAATCTATGAAGCGTCTGACGTGGTCCGTGGACACCTGGGAATGGAAATGTCAGAACTGCCTCCATACAAACCCGATGTTGGAAGCAACTCATTATTTTATATCAGGCACTCGGGAAATAGAAAAGACGTAACCTCGACCATTTATGAAGCGCCCGATGCAGTCCCTGGGCCAACAGGACTGGGAACGCTCCCGCCCCCTTATGGCGATACTGCTTTCAGCTCCTACTCTGCCCTCCGTCAGCCGGAAAACAAGGGTGCCGAGCATGACTACTCGAAGCTACATCTGTACGATGCTGTGACCAATGAGGAACGTCTTCGAGAATCGATGCAGCTTGGCATGTACAGTGATCCAAGAAACCTTAACATATGAAAGACCGAGGATTCAGAGAGTTCCAGGGAACCATATTATGTAAAGTAACCAAACTTATGTGGTCAGAACGTTTTGTCATAACAACTGGTTTTGCCAAACATGACACTCGTCAAACAAACATTACCCACATATCAATATACATGTTGTTTCTTAATTGCACATATTTGATTGAGCTTTCTCCAGCACTCGTGTCCCCCTGGCAACCATGTTGCAAGCTTTTAGATTGTGTTTTTATTTACATGTATGTCTTTTCTTATCAGCCCAAAATAGTAAGAAAGCAAAACTCAATTAAGAGTTGTATGGATATTTAGTAGAGAACCGTATACAACTTGAGGTTTGTAAAAGAAGATAAATCTTTTCAAATGGTCCACTCCAATATGTTGACACATGCCTTTCATGGATCTAATTACTTTTTAACGTAGTAGTTAAGAAGTTTTACAAGTCACACATCGATGCTGCGCTCACATTACTGCTACATGCGTAGTAATAAGTGTCACGTGTTACATTCATAGTAACAGTGTACAAGGAAAACAGGATGAATCATACATGATGTATTATGATCACCATAACAAACGTGGAGCTTATCAACTGTAAATGCTTTCAAATGTAGTCGTGTTAGGTGCCCATTGTTAAGCTTTATAAATAGATGCTTGGCGATGCTTTTCATTGTGATATGAAAACAGACAACAATGATCGACACTTCCCCCAACTACACGTCTATTGTGATAAATCAACAATGGTATTTGCCTCATTATCATTTTCTGGGAAGACTTTATCACAAAATTGCAAAACAGTTTTCCTCCTGACAAGTGCACTTGCACACGTTAGAATGTTGCCTCGATTAGATACTTTATACTATGTTATCCGGCAAATATGTAGATAAACATGGTTTGCCGAAAGCGTTTTTTGTCAAGAGTTTTTGGTTTTTACATCTAGAATTTGATTAACGCTGTCGAACAGGATCTGAGAGTAAATTCTTCTCCAAATTGTTTGTTTTGTTTGTTTGTCGTTTAAAGCCACACTCAGTAATAAAATTAAACAAGTTTATGGTAGACAAACAACTGACTGGTCTTATGAAGAACGTCCTACACCGCCTTGTGACAACGACACGCAATCAAGTCACCGAGTTTGACCACCCGATCGAATTAGTCGCCGCTTACGGCAAGCACATGTTTTAGGTTGTGAGGGACCTGCTCTAACCCCGAATCACCACGTGGCATTGTATGGGTGAGTAGGTTGGATTAAACAGTATTCCTGTTATATAGCGGCGTGTCACCTTAATGTGGGAGGAAAGCCTGAAGTGATGCAGGTCTCAGACGTTTACCACTTTAGTGAAACCCAAGAGCACGGGTATGGTGCCGACAAACCTACAAACATAATCGGGGCGAACTAGGATTCGAACCCACAATCATATATTTCTAGGGTACAAGAGGGACGTAACCCTGCACAGCGAATTGCGGCGCCTCAGACGACTTGGCAACCGGTTTGTTTCAGACTTCAGATTGACACTGTTACTGGTAATCGTTACCAGCCTATAGATATTCTTCATCCTCTATCGGGGCGATCGGGTAGCCTGGTGGTTAAAGCGTTCGCTCGTCACGCCGAAGACCCGGGTTCGATTCCCGACATGGCTACAATGTATGAAGCCAATTTCTGGTGTCTCCCGCTCTGATATTGCTGGAATATTGCTAAAAGCGGCGTAAAAACATATTCAAACACTCACTCACTAAAACAAAATATATGTTAAATATAATTTTGATATGAAACAGACGCACTACACGCACCTGTCTCTATCAGCCTAATGTGAAATAGGTGCGACTATATGTGAGATAAACCTAAATGTGAAAACAGGTGGCAGTGAGGGGGAGGATCTGCAATGTGTATCAACCCAGGACGGCATGGATTTGACCAGTATCCATTCGTTATAAAGAGGGGCGATGGGGTAACCTAACCGTTAAAGTGTTGGCGCATCAAGATTATGAGAGACGAGTTCGATTCATAAACATGGTATAAATTGTGATGTTCGTTATAGATCTCTCTACAGGCCCATGTTTACTGGCATAATTGTTATGTAGCTCAGCGGGATACACGTACCTGGTTTCCCTCACTACACAGTGACAATGGGTTGCGTATCGGTGTTTTCAGTCAGACAAACAAAGCACATAATAAACAGGTATCAATTGATTCCTTATCTCAATAAACCTGGCATATTATAGGCGACCTTTAGTCTGAAATTTACTTTGACGTAAATTGATCATCTATTAACAAACAAAGGTCTCCTTAACGCAAAGTCCGACTCGAATTCCCATGGTTTGTTTCGTGTATTTTCACATAGTGTAATATCACTTTAAACGACGTACTTGTACGAGTACATTTGACTCTGCCTACACTTGAACGCAGGTTCTCTACACGGATATAAAACAGGTTTAAAACCAGTGCATCAGGACACGATTGTCTACCTCGTGTGTCATCCTGTAACTCAACACGAGAGGAAAAACTGCTCTACCCATATTAATTCGGCATACTTTTGTAAACGGATTTTCAAGTACTTCATTAACATAATCAGTTTTGGGAACACAAGCGAACAAAACTCTGGAGTGTAATAAAAAACGGAGTCGAGTTGAGGCACCGACTATAAACATCACCCAAACAATGAAATGAAGGTTGTGTCACCAAGCGGAGAGTAATAACGTTTTCTCATAGAAACTTGAGGCAGACAAGAATAGATCCACACGTTTCACAACAAGCCAACAGGCCGTGAGAACAAGGAAGTTCTTTGCATGTGTTATTGACGTGTGCAACCGGTGGGGCATGATACATGAATCCTCATTATTTGATGGTGATTCATAAACACAATCATGCCTTAGATTCTTTAATGGACTCTGCTTTTAGCAAACATTTCTTATGATTATAGAAAGGGTTTTGTCGCTTTTAGATTTCTATAGCCTTCTAACTAATGTCTTTCAACGTCGCATAAAAGACTAGCTATGTGTCGGAAAGTCAAGCAATGACATAAGGGAAAGGCTGCTATTCAAAGGTAGCTCATCGTCACACTCAGTAACCGCTTTATACAATCATTTGAGTGAGTGAGTGAGTGAGTTGGGTTTAACGCCGCTTTTAACATTATTCCAGTTATATCAGGGCCTGTCACCTTAATGTGGGAGGAAAACCCAAAGTGATGCAGGTCTCAGACGTTTACCACTTCGGTGAAACCCACGAGCACGGATATGGTGCTGACAAACCTAGAAACATAATCGGGGCGAACCGGGATTCGAACCCACAATCATAGGTTTCTGGCGTGCCCAAGGGACGCAACTCTGCACAGCGAATCGCGGCGCCTTAGACGACTGGGCCACCCGTGCCCCCACAATCATTTGATCTGGAACAAGAGATCAGAGATCCGGCTGTGCAAAGTTGCGTTCATAAGTCGTGCCAGGATCCGCTGATCGTTGGTTCGAATCCAAATTGATAAGGATCCTTGGTTTATCAGCACCTTATCTGTGTTTTACATCGAACCAATGTGGTAACGTCTGCGACCTGCATCACATCGCGCAGGCTCATTATGCTGAATGACTGTGATGTTATTAAACAGATGTTCAAAATGGCGTAATAAAAATTAAGGCAATTGATATTGTCACGATTTTCGATGTTAAAATATTTGGCCAACCTGTGATTGAAACTACATCCTTTTCTGTGATAAAAGAACACATTATCATTCAGGCAGGAAGGGAACCCGATTGGCCACAAAGAACATGAATAATCATTCAACTTAAACCAGGAAAATGTTGTGAAATGTTATCAGTTAATCATTTTACCCAATATTATATTTATGATCGAATAGCGAATAAGTTTTCCTTGTTGACATATGGATATTAATACCTTCAACTTTCAATTTCAATTCTATGATAGACGTTAAGGCTTAATGTATTGTGACGTGGTATTCGAGTATCGGCCCTTGTTCAACCATGTTATATATTAAACATGAGGGCAGAATAATCGTGTGTTATAAACTTTCCGATATTTACACATGTGCATTTTAGCGATTCTCAATGCTGATTGGTCAAGTGAAGCCACATGACGTCACAGTGCTTAATTGTTGAGGGAAATACCACATGAATGCATCCATTGTTCATGACGTCACATACTTATTACATTACGCCATTTGAACAAAAGGTTGCATCCAGTGAAGTTCATCTGTAGGATTGATATTCATACGTTTTTATACGCTTTTTCTTTAAATATATCTCTCAGCATCAGAACTGTCTCGTCAGGTAACCTATTCCAATTATGTTTGTTTATGGGTGAGTTCAAAATTAACGTCACATCGGCAATATTGCAGCCATATCGTGACGAGAAGTTATACCTGAATAATAAATACATTTAGACTGCATAAAAACTTGTCGACGATGGACAGTACAATAACTATACTATTTTATTTAGAGTTATTGTGAGAGCATCAAAATGTTATAACTATTATTTGACAATACACTATTTGTCAACTCTTACGAGCATAGGTTACATGAAACTAGTTGTAACGCAGGGTCGTACGGTGGTAGATGTCCGAAAAGAGACGGTAAGATACCAGAACGAGCTATATATTAGGCGTTTAGATTACGTTTTCGGTGACTAGACAAATATACTCACCGCTAAAAGAAAAGCGAAACATAGAACATATTGAGTGAGTGAGTGAGTGAGTATGGTTTTACGCCGCTTTGAGCAATATTCCAGCAATATCACGGCTGGGGACACCAGAAATGGACTTCACACATTGTACCAATGTCGGGAATCGAACCCTGGTCTTCGGCGTGACGAGCGAACGCTTTAACCACAAGGCTACCCGACCGCCCCGAAACATATTGAGAAGTATGTACGTTGAGAATAGGTGTTTCCAATTAATGACAAAGCCAGCAATGAGTCAAGTGTTACCACAGAGTGTCTTTATTCTAATCACAATATGCTGCACGTTATTTCCAAACTGTACACACTAATCCCGCACGAGGCAAATGGTACATCACGAGTCATGAATCTATTATGTCATATGTCATGCGTTCATGAGCATCGGTTCACACAACATACCAGTTTGTTCGTTTGTGCATCGAACTAATCTAATATCTCTTGAATATGAGTAAATCTTCATATATGAACCATATGGTATGCGCGTTACTTTTGGCGGTGAGTATATCAGTAATGATGTTTTAGCATTGTACGCTCTCATTTTGTCACTGTCAAGGTTATGGTATAGCGTAAAGCGTACGTGGATATATATTTTAAACCAAAATATCAACTCCATGAAAATAGTTTTCAATCATTAATGGAACATAGTTAAATGAATATGATCGACTCCTTTGCGTGATGATAAATTTATATCTAAATGTGTCTTGTGTAATGTGTACTGAACAATGTGGTCAAAACCGTTCTATGGCAAGCACGTCATAATGGAATAGTTTAGATGTAAGGTTTCAGAAGCACACGCAGATGCATAAACTGAAAACACCGTGCAACTATAGCATGTAATGTGCTGGAATAAACCACGGACTGCGACGATATTCCTCACTGCTTGTCACAGAAGCGTACGTGCAAGTATACAATGTCAACCACAACACATGTTCACACTTGCAGTAATACGAAATGCAAAGAAATTCTGAATGCAGGCACAATTCACTTAATTTAAATTGCATTTATTTTTCCCTTAACATCATTTGATGCAGACAAAATAGGAAATATGGTCAAATGCATGTTGATGCAGAAAGTTTCAAAGACAAATGTTTCCTTCGACCTGTAGCATCACTGTAATGTTGAATATTCTATTACTTTATATATGAATTATAAACTGCCGGACAAAAAAAAGTACCCATCGATGTTTTTGGTGGCTATAAATGCAACATACAAACGATAAATGGTTTATCGATAGGGATGTATTTGATACGGGTATGATAAGTTTGGATTTGATGTGGACCTTAAATTTGCACTGTTTTCAGTCTAGTAACGATTTGACAACGTTAACAATAATTTGGTCAAATCCAATTTTAAGTGTATACTTTCTTTTGTCCGGTAGCTTACAACAGTGCGTGAGTGAAACTTGATACAATTCATTGTCCGTATTATCACGATGGTCTGTATGTAATCAAACTGAATCCGACAAACTGCTTTGTGTGTACGTGTCTATAAGGAATACAGCTCGATTCGTTCTCCCGTGAATCATATCAGGGTTGTAGTTAAACCTATTATCCTCGGTGCACACGTTTCTTCACTATCATATCAAATAATGGCACGAGTCAGAGGTTTAGAGGAAAATATGTACAAAAAAATTTTAGTATTCATGTTCACACAGCTGTGTCGCTTTTAAATATTAACCATTCAACGTCCGGGTGTTCCCAATAACAGGAAAGCTAAAGGGAAAATTACAATATGACTAGTGGAGGAAAACTTACACCGAGCAGGTTTCGTGTGAAAGTTCACCCAAATTACTCTTACGGATTAAATTTAACAGGAAAGTGTATGTGCTTTCAATTTGAATTAATTATGTTTTGCAAGATACAGTGGATGTATGTGTACAAATTAATATTTTGTTTTATCATTACCAAGGCGGAAGAAGGAGGTAAGGTGAGGTGAAATGGGGTTTAACGTCGCGTCCAAGATTATTGCACTTATATATAGCGACGTGCATGTGTGTTTGTGTGGTTGCTTGTACTAGTCCGGACTGATGCCGATTTATAGTGCTAGCTCACTGAGATACCATGCATGCCGCAGTTAAACATGAATATCCCGCTCAGACACAGTATACTGACTCCTAGCCGACCAGTCCTTGTGTTAGCCCCTTAATGCCGAGCGCCAGACAGGGTAACAACGAATACCATCTTTTAAGGTCTTTTGGTATGACGCGGCCGGGTATCGAACCCCGGACCTTCCGCTCTCCGGGCAGACGCTCTACCACTAGACCACGGAGGCGGTCTGCGGAAGAAGGAAAATGACACTCAATTGCGAGTTTACTGATAACACTGATTACTATCGGTTCCACTGTACCTACCCCTAAAGCTTCCGATACAAGGCAGCCGTCGAGCGACCACTTCACCTACGGCTTGAGTGTAGGTTTTGAGTAACAAAAACACAAGGCACGATACAATGTTTATATAACCCATGAACTGTTTGTTTCGCTAGACTTATGAAGACGTTGTGATGACATGTGCAAAAAAGAGAATTACATTGCAATGTAAATAGACCATGTGTTGCTTGAGGTATTCAAGCCGTTTAGTGAGACTCGATAACTATCTTTAGTAAGTCCATTTTCTTAATATGATACATTCACATTCACATTATACAAAACAGCCTAACGTATGTAAGCCACGGATGTAAGCATAAAAGGAACATCCAGTAGATGAGTTGTCCAGGCATGCATCTTCCAAACTGTAACGCAACGTTCTATCAACTTACAGGTACATGTATAAATCAGCCGGTATTTACTTGTCAGATATACATGCACATTTACCTTCACTCTTTGAAATTATTTAACCACGTAAACATTAATGTTCTGCATGACTTTTGCAGGATAAAAGTCTTTTGGCATGATCATATGACTCTTTTCCGTAATTTGAATCGATGCCGGATGATAAACACGGGTCCATCCACAAGCATACTTGATGATAGCACGTCCCTTTGAATTAATGGGATTATGAATCATATGTATTGATCGGGAAGAAATCAAACATTGAAATATCCAGGAAGCAATGCAATAAAGCACAAAGTAGAAAATACAGAAATGTCAACACATACAACACTTTCACCCGATATTGGTCGAGTGGCTAGGCAGAGTTGACGTCCGTGGTTGAAAAGGTCACTTGTTTAAATGCATGTGTAGATTTTACAGCGTCTTCGTCGGATTTCACCGGGCATATATTTTACGAAAGGCGTTTGAAGAAGCAAAAAGGGGGACTACGCTCCACTCTGTTGTCCATTGTGAAACTAACAACTGAATGACTGATACATCATAAAATGTGATTTAGTAGGCAAAGTGGTGTTTGAAGTGGTGAATCAATTTGTCCGAGCCTAATCCCCCTAAAAGAATCAGACAATGTTGTGACATCTCGTGTCATATATTTGTCATCATGATTTACAGCTACACACTTTATCATATCCGACATCAAGAACCGTGACAATATTTCGACGAACAATTCGAAAACTTGCAACACTGTCTTGTTCAAGAGTTCCACGCGGATGCACGCTTGATGTTTTCTCTTGTGAAGGAAGACGACTGTCACACAAACCCGGCATTTCGCCTATTTCATAAACGGGTGATTAGTGAGTAATAACATTCAGGGTCTTGTTCTGGTATATTCCCTAGTTTGACAGGTGCCTCCGAGGAAAGGATGGGGTCTACAGCACTGATCGGAATGGAATCGGCGCCTTGTTCTGTGCCATGCATCTCAGATCCTTCTCCCCTCTTAGTCCATGGAACCTGCTTTCGGTGAGCATTCAGGCCAGTAGAATTCTCACAGCAAGTGTTTGCGGTGGCCGGTGTAAGCGGCCTCAGTGTTGTCTTTGTACATTCAACATCTTCATAGGGATGTGAAACTCTGTCGGTGTCATATCCTTCCAGGAGGGAGTGGTAAATGGCTTGGTCCGATGCTATGTTAGGTTTGTCCCGCATTGTTATGTCTTCATCATCTGGTATGGCAGCAATGTTATGGCTCAAAAAGTCGCCGAGATTGACTTGCGTACCCACAGTCTGCCCCATGTCCTTAATTTCACTTGGAGGTTGTGCATTAACCATCCTAAGATTGAGTCGTCCAAGTTTTGGCGTAGCTACTCTTACTTTCCATCTTAAAAGAAATTGAAACATCGAGAAAGGTGCACATCATATGTAGTAATCAATGAACGGCTATGTATTAAGTGAGGTCATATGTCACAACATCGTTTTTCTGAGGTGTCAATATTTCATATCCAAAATATACAACAACGTTGACATTAACATGGTCTTTGAATCTGTCGTATAAAGTAGACTCGATAACTTCAAATGTACGTCCTCAAAGGGACAGTTCGCTCGGGACATTTGACAGTCCTATCAAATTGGAATCAAGTTATTTTATTCATATCCACTTTATTTGTTAACTAAAATTGTGGTGTTTATCGCTATGGCAGTTGATCAATACAATAATTATGCAGAGATCAACGTTTTGATCTAGAACAAAACTGGATACCTCGTTGTGGAGCATTGTCCCCTATTAAAGGCATGTGATAGTTGAGAGGCGCAAGTACTTACATGTACACCACCAGGATAAATACAACCATGAGCAGCAGTCCAAGTAGAGTAGAGAGGCTCAACACGGTCACACCTACTGAGAAAAAGGTGGAAGACATTACAACTGTAGCCTTAGGGATCAACCATCTCTCCCCAGCCCACCCCACACCCGTACCTCTCGCTGTCTAATAATCTGTACCCGCACGCAAATTGTGTAGTCTCTAAAAAGCAAAGTAAAACTATCATGAAATGCTTTACACAACAGTTTCAGGTGTGATAATAATAGCTTCCATTTTCCCCTTTACATCTATTACCATTTCGATTACACTAACACGGTTTTACCATTTGGAGGAGAATTTGGATGACATGCTGTCGTGCCATTTCTATGGGCTTCCGTAGTGTTCATCGGATTCTGTGGAAGAAAAACGTGAATTATTACACATAATGATATTAGCACAGCCTAGGTTGACCTTGGACCACAGGAATCTATAAAGTTTTTATTCAACTATGGATTTTGAGAATATTGGTTTACGAGGTCATTTTCTCCATACATCAAATGACGTTAAAGTTTAAAGAGAGATGTATTGATGTTGATAATCATTTGTATGTAGAAAGTATACACACATATTCTAGTTTAAGTCTATACAGAATCTTAAAAGATAATAACATGTTTGAATATTATATATCAGTTTTTAGCATTGAACCATATTGAAGTATCTTTTCCCCAGTTCCGATGCTCAGCTAATGATCTCATGATTTCCGAAGGCAGAACGTTTAGCATTCCCAGATGTGAGAGATTATGTCCACTGTGTGTAATCCCTGTATTAGAAAATCAATTATACTACTGTTTATAATTGTCCTTTTAATCATAATCCCAGCGAACATATTTTGGCGACATATTATTGTAAAACCCGCCGGAAGCAAACTTTGTCTAACTGCTAACTTCAGCAAATATTCATAACGTCCAAAGTTTGTACTAGTTTAATTTCCTTGCTTTCCTTTTCCTTATAATACGTGACGCTAAGAATTGTATCTTTTTGTGAATTAAACATTACCCTTTAGTTCTGACGCTATCTTGTATGATATTATGTTATTGTATAATGCTCCGATGACCCTTTGCCAAACAAAAGCATTCATTCATTCACTTGATTGCCTCTTTGGACCCAAAATTACAAGAGTGAGTGATTGAGTGATCTCATGAGTTTGGTTTTACGCCGCTTTTAGCAATATTTCAGCAATATTACCAGAAATGGACTTCACACAGTGTACCCATGTCGGGATTCGAAACCGGGTCTTCGGTGTGACGAGCGAACGCTTTAACTACTAGGCTACCCGACTGCACCCAACATTACACGAATACTGGAGCCAGAGTCATCGAACCTACTAAAACCATACATATATGCTCCTTGTATGAGACTGGATAGCTATATTTCTAGAGATCCTGCTTTACAACACGGGAATTGTAGATTCTCTTGGTTTCGATCGGTTGGTAAAATGTGACAGCTTGATGTTGGGAATATGAGTTCCACGTGAATTAACGATTACAATCACCTTTTATTCTATCAGGGACAAGTAATCAATTCAGGGCAGGAAATTATTAACAGATGAGACTCTATGGCCACCACTCTTAATATGTCGCTATATGTATGTTCCATATTCATAGTCATATATCGATCATCATATTTGCAATGTGCATAGCTATTCGCAACACACTTTATATTTTTAGACACGATATAGCTGAATTACTGCCGATATGACTATAAATTGTAACACACATATTAACCATAAGTAACATTCTATCACATTTTTCAATTAGCAGTCAATTAATCATCCCACGTTTGTCTTTCAGAATCAAATCCTGGTAGCCTTCGCAGTATACCCCACCTCCGTTGGGAATCCGTGTTAGAATTGGTCCTCAGTAACATATGCTTGTCGCACGATGCGACTGAATTGATCGGGTGTCAGACTCATTGGAACTGGTTAATAACATGTCATCACATGACGTGGATTATTTTCATATCAATCACAGGTTTGACTGGTACAGATTTGATTATTTACAGACCGCCGCCATATAAACATGTAGCTTAAGTTTGCTCAAGCTGTATTCTGTTGCAGGTATACATATGGGGAAAACTATAGAATTAAGACAATGTTGTAATAAACATATTCGAATAACTTACAGGATATTGGACGACGCAATACAATAACGATATAGCACAGAGAAATAGCATCACTTTCTTAAAACTGACACTTTGTGATCAACCAAAGCAGTTTACTCACATCGTCTTTACACCAGCGTCACAAAGTAGCCTTTCGTAGCGTACGGTGTAGCCCTGTTACTCCATTTATTATTATGAAGCAAATGATTTCCTTGCGCTTTGGATGTTCACTTGTTTCAGATATCAAATTCGATTTCCTTCTTCGCGGACAAAATGTCAACACCTTAATAAACAAATAAGTGAATGTGCACGAAACATGATCGAATCGCATGAATAATTATAATGTAATGTTAATGTTTGATCTTTTACTTTTGCTCTGATTATTTGAATGTTTTCATTTCCGTTTTTTCGGTAACAGCTTCCTGTTTCCTTGCCTTTAGGTTGTTTGAAAATATCAGGACTGCATAACATATTTTCATTTTTCTCCCGTCCACATTTTTTTCGTTAGTTTTGTGCGATATTGTTAAAGTGACCAGGACCCTCAGTGGTAAAAATGTACCAAATTTGGGTTTATGCAATTGTCAAAATATCATACGCAATGTACACTCTTCAAAAAAGAAACGCACATGTAGTATGTAGTTCATTGAACCTGACTACACGTAACATCCGATATATAAATTGGATATATGTTATTTGAAAATGTTGGTGGCATGATATTCGACAAACGGTGCGTCAAAACGCAGCCATTGTCGATTTGCATTATCTTAAACGGCATTGTTTTCACACTGACAAAAATGTCATAGAAGAAAACAGTAAAGCAAAATGCACGTGCAAGTTTTGGCATTCGTAAGTCGTGGTAGTGGCTATAAAGAGACAAGCATAAGCCAATAATTTATCATTCATTTGGCAACATTTTTTCAAGTTCGAAAATGCCGAGACTCAGCGCTGCCGATCGGAACATCGCCACAGGACGTATCACAGTCTTCCGTTGCACGCCACTTCAACGTTCACCACAGCACCATTTGCCGCCTTTGTGACCGATACACACAGTTCAATTCCACTGCAGACCGTCCGAGAACCTGCCGACATAGAGTTACCACCCCTACACAGGATCGCTACATTCGACTGATCCACCTTCGTCATCGCAATGCCACAGCTACGGAGACTGCAGGACGCATCCCTGGTTTGAGGAGGATATCGGACTAGACTGTCAGGAACAATCTTTGCATTTGTTTCAAACAAAATGGCAGCGCCCAGTCAACACGATCTGATCGGTAATCAAGATCTATATTGTAATAAAACAGGTCTATGTCTATATTGTAATAAAAACATCGCGAAGTGCATCAAATCACGCGAGCATCTTGATTAAAAACATGAAAAGATTTGGAAACTGTCTGTTGGCGGTGCACACGCTTTGCAAATCCTGCAATCGACCGAAATCTGCATGACAGTTCACGAACCGGATTTCAATTTCGTTGCGCGATTTTGATTGGACTATGAATAGACTCGTTAGTCCAGCCAAACCAACTCCATAATACCGGAAACTGGATTCTTACAGTCAATTAACTCTCTTGTTTCGGGAAGATGCCGAGGAGATGCAGAGCCATGATTGCTGCCCGGGGCGGCCACACGAGATACTAAGTTCAGCGCAACCTTGTGGCCTTATGTGACATGACAATGAACAGTTTTCAATGCGTTTGTACAACGACAACATGTGACTTTCAAAATCCAAAATTTCATATTTGTATCTATGATATTAACTTAAATATATCGACTTTATTAGGTTCATCAAATTTACTAAAAATCTACCTGTGCGTTTCTTTTTTTGAAGAATGTATTATTTGTTATGTCAATACATTAAACACCACTTTTTAGAAATTTAAATTTAAAATTATTCGTTTAATAATTAATAACTTTACTCAAATGTATGTTTGCTTTTTTTGAACATTGTAAACATCACGTTCACGATGAAACAGTGTGCCACAATTAAGTAACGTAATAGTACATGGCAATACGGTTGTCGCGACAATGCTGTAGGAATGCAATCAGTATTATACGTGTGCTTCGGGTGGATGCTGAACGATGCGGATGAATGAAATGTCTGTTAACATTAGCAAGATGACACTTGCTTTATCTGACTAACAACCATCAATAGACCCAGATGATGCAACACACAGGTGGGTAAGTTACACGTCTAGTGAAAACGTTTATGTGATATTATGTTTCTGCCTTCTCATTTCACACTGTCATTCAAAGGCTTATGCAGATTTCATAAGGTGAAAACCTAATATGTATTGTGCGTGGTTTCAGCAGCTATTTCTTAGGAATATGGAAATGATTTTGTCGCTTATTTGTAGTTGAAAGGTCACCTGTTTCATAATGTATAGCCGGAAAGTATCGAGTGCATGAAGCTCCCAGGTCACATAATGATCTAAGTTTAATCAACAGGGCAGTAAAGCCTGAATGTATCGTTAGTACGGAGCTCCCACCCAGGTCACATAATTATCTTAGTTTAATCAACAGGGCAGTAAAGCCTGAATGTATCGTTAGTACGGAGCTCCAACCCAGGTCACATAATGGCCTAAGTTTAATCAACAGGGCAGTAAAGTCTGAATGTAGCTTGTATATGGAGCTCCCAGGTCACATAATGATCTAAGTTTAATCAACAGGGCAGTAAAGCCTGAATGTATCGTTAGTACGGAGCTCCTAGGTCACATACTAATCTAAGTTGAATCAACAGGGCAGTAAAGCCTGAATGTAGCGTGTATATGGAGCTCCCAGGTCACACACTAATCTAAGTTTAATCAACAGGGCAGTAAAGTCTGAATGTAGCTTGTATATGGAGCTCCCAGGTCACATAATGATCTAAGTTTAATCAACAGGGCAGTAAAGCCTGAATGTATCGTTAGTACGGAGCTCCCAGGTCACACACTTATCTAAGTTTAATCAACAGGGCAGTAAAGTCTGAATGTAGCTCGTATATGGAGCTCCCAGGTCACATAATGATCTAAGTTTAATCAACAGGGCAGTAAAGCCTGAATGTATCGTTAGTACGGAGCTCCCACCCAGGTCACATAATTATCTTAGTTTAATCAACAGGGCAGTAAAGCCTGAATGTATCGTTAGTACGGAGCTCCAACCCAGGTCACATAATGGCCTAAGTTTAATCAACAGGGCAGTAAAGTCTGAATGTAGCTTGTATATGGAGCTCCCAGGTCACATAATGATCTAAGTTTAATCAACAGGGCAGTAAAGCCTGAATGTATCGTTAGTACGGAGCTCCTATGTCACATACTAATCTAAGTTGAATCAACAGGGCAGTAAAGCCTGAATGTAGCGTGTATATGGAGCTCCCAGGTCACACACTAATCTAAGTTTAATCAACAGGGCAGTAAAGTCTGAATGTAGCTTGTATATGGAGCTCCCAGGTCACATAATGATCTAAGTTCAATCAACAGGGCAGTAAAGTCTGAATGTAGCGTGTATATGGAGCTCCCAGGTCACATAATGATCTAAGTTTAATCAACAGGGCAGTAAAGCCTGAATGTAGCGTGTATATGGAGCTCCCAGGTCACACACTAATCTAAGTTTAATCAACAGGGCAGTAAAGTCTGAATGTAGCGTGTATATGGAGCTCCCAGGTCACATAATGATCTAAGTTTAATCAACAGGGCAGTAAAGCCTGAATGTAGCGTGTATATGGAGCTCCTATGTCACATACTAATCTAAGTTGAATCAACAGGGCAGTAAAGCCTGAATGTAGCGTGTATATGGAGCTCCCAGGTCACACACTAATCTAAGTTTAATCAACAGGGCAGTAAAGTCTGAATGTAGCTTGTATATGGAGCTCCCAGGTCACATAATGATCTAAGTTCAATCAACAGGGCAGTAAAGTCTGAATGTAGCGTGTATATGGAGCTCCCAGGTCACATAATGATCTAAGTTTAATCAACAGGGCAGTAAAGCCTGAATGTAGCGTGTATATGGAGCTCCCAGGTCACACACTAATCTAAGTTTAATCAACAGGGCAGTAAAGTCTGAATGTAGCGTGTATATGGAGCTCCCAGGTCACATAATGATCTAAGTTTAATCAACAGGGCAGTAAAGCCTGAATGTAGCGTGTATATGGAGCTCCCAGGTCACATAATGATCTAAGTTTAATCAACAGGGCAGTAAAGCCTGAATGTATCGTCAGTACGGAGCTCCCAGGTCACATAATTATCTAAGTTCAATCAACAGGGCAGTAAAGCCTGAATGTATCGTTAGTACGGAGCTCCCACCCAGGTCACATAATGATCTAAGTTTAATCAACAGGGCAGTAACGCCTGAATGTATCGTTAGTACGGAGCTCCCACCCAGGTCACATAATGGCCTAAGTTGAATCAAGTACCCATGCATGCAATGACAAACTTTGGAATTTATGTTATCACATAATGACACATCGTTTTATGAGTAATCAGGAGAAGGGGCGAAAACAAGAGAAATATAGATACTTTATGTATAAAACACCTAATTGCATCAGTGGCAAGACAGTGCAACGTTGCAACTCACATTTTCCGTCTTTGAGCACAATATCGGCAGCATGGCACCACTATAGGTCGTTCAAGATCAGGGAGACCCCGCATCACCACAGCAGCCAAAGAAATCTGTATCCGTGTCCTTCACATTCGAAACAGGACTCTCACTGTAACGTTTGTTTCGCGTTTTGTTTAGTTACGCATTCCGTTTCTCTCTTCAAAGTAGAGATTGTCTGTATCAACGACGAAATAAGCGTTTTACCTTATGGTGTGTACATGAAGTCGACATATTCGTAGTGTCATGATGTGGGGAGCCACGTTATTAGACTCTGTGAGATGAGCTAGACAGACGTCGTCAACGCGGACCAAGGCCACAAAATCTGCAGGAATTACTCCAAGCTCCTCAGAGGGAATGGGCGGCCATTCTACAGGTCGTCAACCGCAGGCTACTCGTTTGATACCAGATATAGGCAGGGGGTGTCGTGCAGTCATTCAGGTGAATGGCGGACACACGCGGTACTAGGATTTACGACTGTCGTGCTTGAGACAACTTGGTACTCTGTTTTCAAATAAATCATGGACGGAACCCTTTGCCTCGCCTCCAACCATGATAAATTACAAGACAAGTGTACTTCTACTGTGTCTTACATCACAGATAGGTGAATATGATACTTTTTACAACACAAACATGTAAGCGCAAA